AAAAAAAAAAAAAAAAAAAATTTAAAAAAAATAAATAAAAATAAACCACTTTTACGCGCCTGCCTGTTGGAGGATCCGCCTGTGGCGAGCCCATCTTTTTTTCCAGCCTTTATATACGCCGACTCGGCGCCCTTTTTTTGCCCTCGTGCCCCGTTGCCATTGTCCGTCTCTCGTTTGACGTCTACTACACTCGCTCATACATACGTTCGCTTTCAAACTCCACCGAATAATCTTAATCAACCATGAAGGCCTCTCTGCTGCTAACTGCCGGCCTGTCTGCCGCCAGCCCGCTCTCTCTAGCCATACGGGACTCCGGTCTCCAAGCTTGTAATCCCTCGGGTGCTACGTCATCGGCTTTGCCCAAGACAGGCTCGGAGCTATCCTCGTTGTACACCAGTCTCCTCTCCTCGGTGAAGGGGCAAAGCTTTTCCGTCAAGCAGACGCAAGATGGCGATGACAGTTCGGATTCGGGTTCTTTCTGCTGCGCCCAAGGCACGAGCTGCCTGACGCTGGCCGATTTCTCGATCCCGTTCTGCTACGACAAGTTCACTACCAACTACATTTTTCCAGACGGCTCGTCGGGCAACATTGTCTCTGGCAATTACAACAGGACCGACGGCTCATCAGTAAACCTCCTCACTGGTGACTACACGGACAATGGAACTTCGGGAAACATCTACTCCTCCGATGCCGCGGACAAGCCGAACACGGCAACATTGTCGATTCCTCCTCTGTACACTGCATCGGGTGTCGGTAGCGCCATTCCCATTAGTGCTCTCGGTACCATTGTTGTCTACACCACTACGGTCCCTGAAACTACGATCCAGCCCACGACAATCCCCGCCTCGACCGTCAAGGCCCTAACGGTTTCCGGGACAACCATCGCCGGCTCGACAACCGTTACCCCTACTACGATACCTGAAACTACTGTTCCCGCTACTACCATCACCAAAGCCACCACTATTCCGGCGCACGAGACTGTTGTTACGACTGTCCAGCCTGCAACTACGTCCGCCTCAGTCGCTTCGGCTGCCGCGGCCTCTGCTTCCGATGGTGCTGCACCAATTTTCGGTCCAGCCCCAATGGTCGTGTTTGGCGCCGTGGCGTACGCTTTCGCAGCATTGTAGCTGTGGTCCAGATCCTCGACTAGATCTATCGCTTGCGCTTTTTAGCCTCGATGTTAACGACTTACAACCCTGTTTTAATAGGAAAGGCATTGATTGAGGGCACGTGCTACGTTCAATACTGTACGATATCTGCTTTTGTCTTGATTGTTCCTTAGGTGAAGGAAATACCCCCATATTAATGGTTGGTTTTGTTAGATGTGCCCGTTTTAGGCGGTCTTGCTTCAGTGGTGTGGACTAGACTAGAACTTTATCAATATTCACTTTTACCCACCGATGTTTCCCAATTCGAACATTATTATACCTTGCTGTTGGCTAGATTATAGGTCGGGGAGGATACAGGCTTAACATTACACATGTAATGATCTTCGGCACAAGTGTAAAATGCGAAAGTCGATTTGATAGACAGCACGTAGGTAGCTTGCAAGCTTATAGTACCGGCAGCAATATGTGAACCGGTGTCTAAGTTGTCAGTATCAACTGCCTTCGCGCATAAGAGCGTTGTTTGTTAGCAGATTAAATAATGATGGCAAATATTCAAGTAAGCAGCCTGATACGATCTAAAGTCGGAGGATTTTTAAGCCTATTATCGTACTACGACGATCAGATCAAAGATATTTTATACTTTTTCTAATTTTTAATCAAGAACATACTACGTTCTCTCACCAGTCTTTTTTGCGGTCATTACCTGTTCACACTATCTCTATCGAACCAAATCGGATGGCCAGGGTATCATGCCTCCACCCCCTCCTTCGCCAGTTCAAGTTTGTTCATGGCGTCCTCGACGCTCGTACCCACGCTAACTTCTTGCTTGCCTTGTCCCTCAACACTGCCATCCGGCTGCGCTTCAACGTTCTTCGCGCCACCGGGGTATTTGGTACCCTTGTTCTTGACCTTCTTGACCTTCTTCTTGTCCTCCGCGACTGGGGGCGGGTAAGCCGTCTTCTCAATCTCTTGCCACTCCGGTGAAGCCGCAAAAGCCTTCTGAATGGGTGCAAGAAGCTTGTTGATAGCATCCGTGACACCGGACTTGAGGAGCTGGGGCGTCAGAATGTCGGCCTTGTAGTCATCGTGCAACTTCTGGACATCATGGTAGACCAATGGCTCTCCTTCTCTCCGCTCAACTGTGAAAATGGGCTTGCCACCCTCGAGGACACCCGCCGGCATCAAAACATATTCAATGAAAGACAGCAGACCATTGCCCTCGACCTTTTTGGGCTCGGCGAAAGCCTTCTTCAGCTTCTTCTTGACCAATTCAGGTCCATCCAGAAGATCAATCTTCGAGTCGGGATCCGAAGAAGACATCTTGTCACCCTGCACAGATCGTAAGCCCATTGATCGCCAAACCCGGCGCATTAATTGCTCACCTGAAGGCCTGGAACCATCTTGTTCATAAGATGTGCCCTCTCCTTGTAACCCAGTTTCGGCAGCGCCTCCTTCGCCAACGCAAAGATCTTCCTCTGATCCACGCCACCAAACTGCACATCCACGTCTAGGTACTGTTCGTCCAACGCCTGCATGAGTGGGTAAATCAAGCCGGACAGGAGGGGGTTGTCTGTCTGCTTGACGACTTCCGCGCCAGCCCTCTTCGCGTCATGCTCGGTCGTCATGGTGCTCAACCTGAGCAGGTCCATCATGTAATCGGGCGACTTCTGGTATTCGCTGCCGAGGACAAACTCAAGCCTGTCGACGGGCACATTGACGGCCTTGAGCGACTCGGTGATGACAAGCTTGTAGTACTTGGCGCGGTAGTTGACGAGCTCGATGGGGGCCTTGAGGTTGTCGAGGAAGGCGTGGATATCGGCGAGGAGGATCTTGACATGGCAGCCCGCCTGGAGGAACTGGGCAATCTTCAGCATGGGGACAAAGTAGCCGCAGTGCGGCCTGCCGGTCGTCGCCGTGCCCCAGTAAATTTTGAGAGGCCTGTCCTGCTTCTTGACGACATCGTCAATGATTTCGGGGTTCAGGCTCTCGGCCAGGTTCGCGTAGATGAGGGCTAGCTTCGCCTCCGGGGTCGTGGTGTCGGCCATGGTGGGGTTATTTGACCCCGCGGTTGTGCGCGAAAAGTGGGCGATTGGCAGGGGCAAAAGAAAAAGGCAGGCGCAGAATCGCGTTGCTGGTGGAGGGCAGGCGTCGGTGTGTCGAGGACGAGCAATTGTCGGGTATGACTGAATTCCCGCGACAGGCCTTCTGGGGGTGGTGCGATGAGTCTTCGAGTGGCGGCCCGTGCACCCGCGGCTACACTTTGGGACTTTTGTACCTAGGTACATTTATTGCTACCCGCTACCCTGCACCGTCAAACCGCTCCTCACCCTTTCTAACTACTCTTAGTGGGACGTGTCCCTTGCGCATTTGCAGCGTGATGACGCTTCCCATGCCATGCTTTAGAAGCTTGACTGCTCGGTCTGCCGCTTTTCGCCACACTTCTTCTCGTTGCCGACCACCCCTTGGCATCTTTTCCACCTCTTCGTCTGTCGCAAAGTCATCCACCGCAAGCTCCACGCTGTGACCGTGAAATATCGCCGCAAGGATTGCCATGACTTCAACCTGCGCGAATCGTCGACCCATGCAAGAGCGCTGGCCCTCGCTGAACGGCAGAAAGGCGCCACTCGCAGGCTTGAACAGAGGGCGTACTCCCCTGTCTCCGGCAGCTTTGTCCATCAGCCATCTCTCGGGCTTAAACTCATCGAGATCCTCACCCGCAGGCAGCGCGGAGACGTCTGGCCTTGTGGGCCAATACCTCGGGTTGTGATGTGTTGCAGGGACGTCGAGAGAAACGATGCACTCGGCCGGGATAACTACGCTTTGGCCATTCACCGTTAATGGCTGCGGACTGCCTCGCATTGTAGTTTTTGGTATTCCAGTGACCGATGGTACGAGGCGCATAGTCTCATACATGACTGCTGCTGTCATACCGTCCATCATTTTCGCAAAGTCCTGATCGTAGTCCCATTCGGCCACTGGCCGGTCTCCGAAAATTGCTGCAAGCTCTCTTTGGAGACTCCGCTGGCAAGTCACGTTGAGGGCAAGGAACACCAATGAGAAATGCATTGCGTTGGCGGTCGTCTCGTGGCCCGCAAGCATAAAGACGAATGCGTTACCGAGTATTTCCGATTCACTCAATTGCTGCTCTGGCATCTCGGATGAGGTAAGAGTTTCCCGATTGAGCCCCGCCCCTTTCATTACAGCACCTGTCGAAGCACGTCAGAATGCATCCAGTGGCAGCGCCTCTGACGAGGAAAGAAAAAACAAAAACAAAACATACCGAGTAAGTCGAGACCCTCCGTACTCTTACCCTCGCGTATCTCCGCCTTTTTCATCGTGTATAATTCAGTCATGTATTGTCCCCATTCGTCGTACGCTTGAGAGGCAATCCTCGGACCCTCGAAAGGCAAGACGTCTGAGCGTAGTCAGCTACAGCACGTTTGCTAGACATCTCGCAACCTGAGATCTGACCTCGAAGCCATCTTGGCAGTAGGGGAATCCATATAACATTCTTCATAAGCTTACTCATGGCTTCTTTGTACGACATGGCATGTCCAGGAGAAGGCTTCGTGCTGGAGAACTGCGCGTACGCATCCCCCTCTTTACCCGAGGACTCTTCGTGTGGCCATAGGACGCGCACACCGAAGCCTGCCTTGCTAATGATGTGCAAACTAACACTCATCATATCCGACTCAACGTCATTCACCGTCTCGCTTGAGGAATTACCATTTGTCCAATGGACGAGCAGTGCGCTTGCCTGACGCAAGCACTCATCCCATACAACACGGTTGTTCTTCTCGCTGAACGAAGGCGCCGTGATCTTGCGATGGCGACGCCAAGTCGAGCCCTCCGACACGACGACATTGGTACCGTACAGATTGACGTCCTTGTACCTCTCTAGCGGCTTCTGGAAATCCGCACGGCGGGCGGTGATGTCCGCGATTGCCTCAGCATTGGCAATGTAGCAGTGGTTCCCACCTGGTGCGACGAAGAGTATAGCGTCGCTTCCCATGGTGTTGAAGGGCTCGTACTTGCGCTCGTAGAGCCACTCGGGCTGCAAGTATGGAAGCCATGGGTGCGTCCACGTTGCTGGGAGCTTTTGCAGCAAGGGGAACCAAAAGTCCCCAGTGAGCATCCAGATGACGTTAAACTTGTCCCATGGTAGTAGGATGTATGGCAGGCCGGAGCGCTTGGCGGCGGCCAAGTTCGCGGCGAAGCATCTGTACGTGTTGCAGAGATAAAGCGTGGCCAGGGCAATCGCCGCTAGAAGGATGATGGAAGGCATGCAGAAGACGCTAACTTAGGGGCGGATGGGTCGGATCGGCTCGCTGATCACAGGGACGGGGCGGTGGGATCATAGAAGATGATGGGAGGTTGAGGGAGAATTGGAGGGATGTGTGGGTGTGTGTGTGCGGGTGTGGAAGCACGGAGGAAGGAGCCATGGCTGCCGTTGAACCCAAGGGGCAGTTACTAGTCCAACGGCACGCTAGTTAGAGAGAAGGCGGGGAGCTAGTATTGGTGGTAAGTGTATGTAGTAGCATTGCACAAGTACCCAGGTGTTTGTCTGTCGGGTTGTCTGTCGGGACTGTCTGTATGTTTGTCTGTCTGTACGATACGTGAAGTCGACGATGGATGGATGGATGGGTGGATGATAGGACGGGAGACTGATGAGAGGCACGCACGTGACTGGACGGCACTGCCACTGCCCGCTTGGATCAGGGCGGGCAGGGCAAGGGAAAAAAAAAAAAAAAAAAAAACGAGAGATCTCATATTTTAGCCGGTTAGGCGGGAATCTGACTCCTCCGTCTTCGTCTATCTTGCCTGACCCCACCGGGGAGCCGAAGAGCCTCGCCACTGAGGCGGTCTCAAGATTTCCCTCTCTCACACACCCACCCGCAGTATCAACAATGGCCAGCTCACCAGTCGTGTGACTGGGCGTGTCGTCCACGTGGAAACTGACCGCTGCTCGCCGTCGCCCCACCGCCTCGTTTCTTTTGCTGCCGAGCTGATCCGACGGCCGAGAAGGGCGCGCCAGTCGCAAGGCCCCAGACGGGCCCCGATGCTGCCCCCGGCACTGCACGCCTCGCCCAGCGCTGACACTGCATGGCCGCGCTACAGGATTCCAAGGCCCAGAAAGCCGGGTCCTTTGATTGCCCAGGCCGGAGATGCGGTGCTTGTGCGAGTCGTGTCGCCCGCGCAAACCTCACCCGCCGCGCCAAAAGCTTGCAACGCCCACCACTCGACGCGTTCCTGATCTCCGCGCATGCCTGCTCGCAAGCTCCGGTGCTTCAGCTTCGCCCCGCTTCCTGTCCGTCCGCAAGCCCGCCTGCGCCCTCGCCCGCCAGCGCCACGCTCTAGCGCCGCCCTGCTCTTCTGAGCTCCTCGACTCCCCTTCCATGATCGTCAACCGTCTGATCACCCCCTTGGAGCAGGCTTTTCCAGCTCCATGGTAAGAGGCTGTCTCTCCCGCCTGGCTTCCGGCAACGTCTGGCCCTTCCTCGGTCCTCCCTCCTCGCGACCCTCCCGCCGCCTCCTCGTGTCTTGCATGATTTGCTTGCCTTCGACGTAGCAACTCCCTCGCTTGGCGCTGATCGAGCCAGCGCCGGATCCTTGCCCTCGACACTGTTAGCTATGACGCGCATTGGGCCCTCTCATTTCCCTTCTGTAGACTGACTTGCTGGAAGCCTTCCTCGCACCATAGGTCGTCCTTTGTCTTGCCTATCTGAACATCGGGCCCCAGTGCGCATGGCCAGGTCCGTTGCGCCAACATAAGCATGGAAGCCGATGGTCCAGACGTCAAACGTCCCCGTTTGGATCCTCACTACCCTCACACTGCGCCTCCTCCTCCTCCTCCTCCTCCTCCTCCTCCGCCTGCTGCTGCTGCACAGCGCCTGCTTCATCAGTATCCTGAGCCACAGCATCCCCACTATCCTCCCCATACGCTGCCGCCGCCACCGCTCCAAGCTCAGCCGCAATCCTTGCCGGGCACGCCTCTTGGCCCTCGAGCCCCGCGAGCCCTGCCAGAGCCCGTTGGCTACCAGCATCCGCAACACCGACCAGTCAATGCGCCGCCGGTGAGTGTGCCTCCCTCGAGATCGTACTCCCTCGAGTCCCTCTCGCGGCCGCCCAGCAACCCGAACCAACCTTCGCCCATCGACACCCGGCCACGTCCAATCGCTGTAACTGGGCCACCGGACAGCACACACCCTCCCATGGAACATGGACACCACCCAGGCGCGTATCAAAACCCTGAGCCTCACATGAACGGCACCGGTCAGCCGGCCTACCCCCCGCCGCCGACTCCTCACCATCAATACAATGGCCCACCATTAGGTCCCACCCAAGGCTACCATCCTTCACCCTATCCTCAACCCAGCATGTACGCTCCAGGCACAGACTACGTTGGTGCTAGCCGGAAGCGCCAGGTGCGAGCTGTTCAGGTGCGTCATGACCAGCATTTTTTATTTTTCTAGTTTTTTTTCTTATCTTTCCTTTTTCTTTTCTCCCTGGTAATTTCGATATATTTTGTTTTCCTTCACTGACGCAGGTACAGGCCTGCAACAATTGCCGAAATCGCAAGCAGAAGTGCGACGAAGCAAGACCTTGTCAGTTCTGCCGTGAATCCGGGCTCAAGTGCGAGTACAAGGAAGTACCGCCACCAAAGTAAGTTAGAAGCCTGCGCCGTTGCCGAGAGCGCACTACTCACCCACACACCATTGACAGGCAAGATCGCACTTTGCACGACATTTCGACGAAGCTTGCCATGCTCGTGGATCAGTTCTCGCCCATTCCAAGTCGACTTGACAGAATAGAGCGGCAACTTCGAGGTCAGCAGAGTGGAGATGGTACGCTACAGACTCCATCTGACCAGTTTCCTGCGCCCACGCCTGTTGTTGCGGAAGAAGCTGAAGGAAGTGTGTATGATCCAGTCCGAGAAAACACCTCGTCGGAACCGCCACCGCACACAGCAGCCAGGACATTAGCCGGGCCGAAATTCTCAGCGCCGCCTCCGAACGCGACTTCGCCTGAAAGCAGCAAACAAAGCCAAGTGCCGGATATCTTTGAAGGAGAAATCACGTTACCCGCCGACCACACCACTTCCGCCCATCAACTTCTATCTGAGTGGGAATCCATGGAGCCATTCTTTAGAGACGTATGTCCTACCGGAGCCAACTATGCGAGGGAAGAGGAGGAAAACCGTGGACTCTTGCGGCTGTATGGAAGGGGCGAAGGAGAAGATATGTATGACGGCGGACACGGTGGCAGCCCTGCGGCAGATACCACGGAGGACGACACGACACCTGCTCCTTCTCCAAGGGACAGCAACGGCTGGGGCTTTGGGTTCACGCCCACCGCAGGCGTTGAGGTCCATCGCTCGTCACCGCAGGACTGGGGTGGTCTCAATCCAGATGGCACCTTGAAGCTGGATCTACGGACAATTAGGCGTCTGCATCAGAGCTATCTGCAACACATCCATCCGTTGCAACCATTTTTGGACAAGGGGCGCTTGAGCGTCATGGTGGAGAACTTCATCGCTCGTTACAGCCCGGATCCACCAGCGCCCGGAAATGTCGGCCCTCGATCGCCGTTTGCCGTGCCTGGAGATCAATATGGGGATCGCTATGGTAGCGTACCCCTAAAGAGGAAACGGTCCAACAACGGCTTGGTCCCTGGCCAGGACGGAGGGACGCCGCCCAGACGCATGCAAGTGGAGCGGTCTATCGGAAACGCGATAGTCCTTCTGGTCTTCGCTCTAGGAAGGATTTGCGAGCACAAGACACATCTATCCGGTCCGATCGGCGGCCCGACCACCGCGATAGGCAGTGGACTTCAGCCATCAGTGGATTCGCCGCCAACTGCGATCAAGCCATCTCCTGCGTCATCACATTCAACGCTCGCCAGCATTCCATCACCAGGTTTCGATGGTCCAACACGCTTTACGTCACGACGATCATCCGCAGAGCATCTCCCAAGCTTCGAAAAGCGAGACTTCACCGCGAGGAACATTGACGTCACCCCTGGCCTTGCGTACTATGCCTATGCGGTTGAGATTCTGGGCGCAGTACACGGTGGAAATGACCTTTCCCACGGTCAAGCCGGTGTTTTGGCGGCGCTCTATATGGGGCAGCTTGCGAGGGTAATGGAAAGCTGGGGCTGGATTTGCTACGCATGCAGAGTGTGTGGCGTCTTGATTGATAAGTATGGAGTCTGTCCATTCCGTTTACAAAAAACGTTACTGATTCATAATTAGGGACAAAGATGCGTTGCGCCCTGATGCACCCGACGAGCCGTCAAGCAGCATGGATCTACGGAAGGTTATGCCTGGCGTGACGACGGATCGCCGGAAGAGGAACCTGATGAAATTCCTTTTCTGGACATGCTTGCAGTTGGAGAGGTGAGTAAATTCACCACAACAGTTTGTGAAGATACTAATCGAATAGCGATATCCTTGCCGAGATGAGCCATCTTCGCCCTAGCGGAATATCAAAAGACGAAGAGCGCATTGGACTCCCTAGCCAGATATATCCCGATATGCCGTTGGATCCTCCCGAAGAGATGAATTGGCTTTATTACTCAGCACAAATTCAGCTTCGTAAGATCTTGAACCGCACCCATCTGGCTCTCTACAGTAAACGTATGCATTTCTTCAAGCGGTAAAAAGGATGGTTCGGGCTGACATCAAGTAGAAGCACGGAAAAAGTCGTTCTGGGCCTCCCTAAAGGACGATCAACTCGAGGAGCAGCTACAAGGGTGGCGCGATACTCTGCCACAGTGGCTGCAATGGGACGATGCCGACGATCCCGCCCTGGACATAAATACGGCACGCATGCGAGCCAAATACTACGGAGCGAAGTACATCATCACTAGGCCAGTTCTGCACTGGGCGGTCCAGCAAAAGGATCCGCCCAGATGGATGGTGAAGATGTACGTGCCGTCGTCTGATAGCTCGAGCTCGCCGGACGAACCACCACGATTTCCCATGGACACGAACGCCGAAGCGCGGTGGCACAAGGTCATCAGCACCAGCAAACGTTGCGTCGATGCTGCTATCCAAAGCACGCTTGCCTTTGATGGGGTCGAGAGCCCCTCACAGCGGCTCATCGTCACCAACATCTACGGCACAGCTCATGCGTAAGTTTTCACACGTGGCTCGCCGCCCAGCGAAGAGCGATATGGCTGACGTTTCCACCAGACAATTCGGCAACATGCTCGTTTTGGCAGCTGTCCGCAGATCATGGCTCCGCGACCTGATACCGTTGGCACGCCTCAACGAATTGATGGAACGAACCATTAAGTTCCTGCGCCGCTTAATCCCGATCTCACCAACGATGCGCGTCGACGTCGCCATCCTCGAGAACACGCAGAAGTGCGTCAACGGCGAGAAGTCTGATTCGGCGTCGGTCGAGGCGTCATTTGGCGCATAGTCAAGGTTCTGAACTTGGATTGAGAAACGAAAAATGAGGCGCCGGCTGTCGCGAGGCGCGCAAAAACCTCAGGCAGCGAAGCCGCCACTGTCACGCGCAGCAGCGTTGCCTCGCTTCGCCTCGTGTTTCTCCGCAACCCCTCGCGCCCCCGGCGCTTAAGCCACTGCGCTGCGCCGTTGGTCGAGAGCAAGTCTCTTTGTTTCCTTTTGATGCGTGCCATCTTCTGCAACATATACCCGATCTACATATCCCTGGAGGCTCAGTGCGGTGGCCCTTGACGATCGAAGTCTTTGTCTACATGCATGGTTGCGCGGCGCCTGGTCCCGGCATAGGTTTGCTTTTTCGCTCATCGCAATATCTTTTGTTTTCTTTTTTGTCTTGTGATGTATATCATACGTATCGGGCGGGCAGCGATGTCTTGGCATTACTCGGTGTTGATCATCTATCTCACTTTCCTTTTTTGTCTATTTTTTATTTTTATTTTTTATTTTTTTTTATTTTTTTCGACGCGAGCACATATTTGGTCTGGGGCGCGGGAAGCCGAGGGGCAAAAGAGGGCGCGGTGCTGGACCGTTGACCGCTTCGCCCATCGCACCCCGCTCGGGCCGCAATCACCACCGGCACAACAACGCCCACCTCAGGGCTTTTTCTCGGGCGAGCACAAAACGCACGTCCAACGCACCTGATGACGCATTCTCGAAACCTATGAAACGGCGGCGACAAGGGCGGCCATGTCGATGCGTGACGCGCGCGTTTTCCGCCGACGAATCGGTACTTTGTATTTGGTAGTACATGCTGGGCCGTTTGTGCGACTCCGGGTTGGCCGCTCCCTTACCGATGTCCGCCGACGGTCCTTTCTTCAGAGATCTGGAGCTGGACGAACCGCCCGTGACAGGAAACGGGTCGCTGCCCCCGCACACGCGGGTATTGCTCATGCAGCCACCGGGCATTGACGCATCATCGCGGCCATGGATCACTTCCCGTGTGGACAGAAGTTTGCAGCGACACGAATCTTGCCGTGCATCAATCTACTCACTGCCTCTTCTAGCCGCTTCAACACGATGGGGCCATGCAGCCACGGCACGGCTCGAAGCGTCGTCCACCCGGCGTACAAACACCATACTAATCAATTTAACCCTTGCCGCGCTAAGGAAGAAAAAATAAAAAAATAAAAAATAAAAATTCAAATCCCAGCTCCATCACAGTGCTCAATGTACAAAGACCCCGCTCGTGCTGGTCCTCGTTTATTTTTGGACAATGCTCTGGGAACTGGAATCCGTGTATGAGTGAGCGAGCGTGTCCGAGACCTCCACGGCACTCTTCCTAGCGTGGCTGCCGCGTGGTGTGCCTAGGCAAGCGGGGTCTTGCATCCTGTGTCGGACGTTACACCTATACTTTGTGTAGCAGGCTAGACGCGCTTCTCACACACCGTCAATCACCTCCCGCTTTTCCAGCGGCTTTCCCGCCGCTGCAGCACGCGTGTTTGTAATTTCCCACTCGAATTCTCGCAGCGATCGCAGCTCGCTGCTCATAAACAGCCCGCCGATGAGCCCGTCCAACACGCCAGCTGCAAGGCCTAACGTGCTCACCAGCATCAATATGAAAGCGACGTAGTTGTGCGGCGCCCACCACACGCCGACAAGACACGCTATGGCGAGGGCAAGCTGCCCCCCGAAATGAGAAAGGCGCAGGCGCCGTTGACGGTACTCGCGCGCTCTATACTTGTGTATCATGGCGAGGATCTCGTCATAAACGGGCAGTGGAAGGAATGAAGAAGAAAGAGGGTCAACATCAGAAGTGGGGGTTACCGCAGAGTCGGCGTCTGAGGCGGCATTGCGCACTAGGGTAGCCTCGATGGAGAAGTGATCACTGAGAGAGCAGCGAAGGGTAGGGTGGCGACCTGTTATGCCTACTTTTGCCGTCTCGAGACCCCATGCTCCCTTGGACGTTTGGAGAGGGTCGGTGCCAGAAGTAGGCGCGACTGGACTTTGCTCTCCACTGGAGAAGAAGATGTAGTCCAATCTTTTCGCTCGTGGATCATCCACCGTGGGCTCGATTTCTATCGGCTCTCCCTTTTCCAGTCTCTTCCTGTGTGCTTCGTTCCACCTCCAAGTGTTCAGTGCACTGTCGCAAGTTGCGCCGTTCTCCGTGATGTTGAACTCGGCATTCGGCATAGGCTTGCCTCGCCTTTTCTCAACAGCATCCCTAGCCGCGCCAACCGAAGAGTCCGGGTGCAACAACCTCCATATGTCTCTGACCGGTGAATGTGTCTCTATGAGGCGGTGCGCAAGCGACAGAGGAATCATGTTGAAGTCGCCCAGACCGATGACCAAGTGACCACGTTCGGCAGCTCCACGCATCAGCTTTGTTATCTCCCAGGCCTGAGCGGTGCGATGACATATGTAGGAATCGTTTGGCTCGCTCTCGTACGGTGCGTGTAGCTACATGGAAGGTGGTGTCAGTCGTCCGACTCCCCAGTCCCTCCTGGCAGTAGCACTCACATGCGTGCAAAACACCTCCGCAACATCCTTCTTTGCCGGGCCAAACCTGATTCTTGCGCAAGCAACGCCCTTGCCCACAAACCAGTCGCCCCTGAAGAAAGCGGTCGGTCTTCCATTGAGCGAGTATCGAACCATACTGCTATCCTCGATGGGCCATCTCGACAGAATTGCCAGGCCTCCGCCGAAGATGCCACTATGGTAAAATTTGCCATATGGAAGGAAGTCCTGAGTCCTTTCACGGATGGCTAAGTAGTCCTGCCTGGTCCAGCATTCTTGCAAGCCGACGATGTCGGGGCGCGGGGAGACGTCGGCGAGCTGGTTGCCGATTTCTGACAGGCGTTCGTTGCGGTACTTGGAGATGAATTTCAGACCCCAGCAGTTGAGGCTAAGGATGTTTAAACGCGAGGGGGCGTCCCGAGCCATTGGGAATATAGATAGCAAACAATGCGTCGTGCGGGATGCCACCACGTATGTACCAACGGTGATGTCAGTCAGGAACAGCTTCGGCGATTGGAAACCCCCGACGCTCTGCCTTCCACTCCCGCCGCATCGCATTAATCAATCCGCGCCGAAACCACCATGAATCATACCGACGCGCCGTCTTTCGAAAGGCGGCGTTCCAACGAGGACTATGACGGGCCCTCGGGCGACCGTTCGCCATTTCAAGCTCCAGATGCCGACGAACTGAATGAGCGCCCCACGCCGCGCCAGTACGCCGACGCCGACATGGAAGACGCGCGCGACAGGAGCAGGTCTCCTTCTCGGTCCAGATCTCAATCCAGACAGTCGTCATCCTCGCGATCGCCGCCGCCGGAACGCTCGCCAAGCGTCGACCTGCCGGACAAACCAACGGAGCTGCGATACAAGGCAAAGTTGAAGCTTGGAGGTCACAAAAAAGGCGTGTCTTGCGTAAGATTCTCTCCGGATGGGCGATGGATAGCCAGTTCCTGTAAAGTTACCACTGTCTTGCTGTAGTTTCATCATCATTGACTTCTGGAATGCAGCCGCGGACGCTACGATTAAGATTTGGGACGCGAATACCGGAAAACTACAACACACTCTCGAAGGCCACATGGCTGGTATTTCCATAGTCGCATGGGCGCCAGACTCAAGGATAATTGCATCTGGCTCGGACGACAAATACATCAGGCTGTGGGACGCCATCACGGGCAAGGACTTGTCGGTTCCTTTTGTAGGCCACCACAACTACGTATACTCCCTGGCCATCTCGCCAAAGGGCAACATGCTTGTCAGCGGCTCCTATGACGAGGCTGTGTTCCTGTGGGACGTCCGCACGGCACGTGTCATGCGCTCGCTTCCCGCACACTCTGACCCGGTTGGCGGCGTCGACTTTGTGCGCGACGGCACAATGGTCGTCAGCTGCTCCAGCGACGGCCTAATCCGTGTCTGGGACACATCGACTGGCCAGTGCCTGCGCACCCTTGTCCATGAAGACAACGCTCCCGTGACTTCCGTCCGCTTCTCGCCCAATGGAAAATACATACTCGCGTGGACACTGGACTCCTCCATCCGGTTATGGGACTACATCACTGGCAAGGGCAAATGCGTCAAAACGTACCAGGGCCATCAGAACAGCAAGTACAGCTTGACTGGCGCGTTTGGAGTTTACGGTACAGCACCCTACCAGTACGCTTTCATAGCCAGCGGCAGCGAGGACGGCAGCGTCATCCTGTGGGACGTTAGCAGCAAGAACATCATGCAAAAGCTAGAGGGCCATGAGGGGCCAGTCTTGAGCGTGGACACGCACCCCACGGAGCCCTGGATTGTGAGCGCCAGCTTGGACAGAACTATCAGGATCTGGAAAATGGAGTCCGATGCTCCTCCGCAGCCCACAGAGAGTGGACCGTGAGCTACCAAAAGAAAACAGCCATCGTAATGATTCCTTTTTGGCGTATGGTCACCAAGAATCTTGCGTCGGTATATGTAAGTCTTTGGCGCCATGAGTGGTAGGGTCAGAGGTGGCATATAAGAGCCCATAGCGTTTGGGCAGACCTGATGATGCATGCACTCGAGAGCTTGGAGGTCTTCGATTCCTATAGATACCCATATTTTGATAGAAGAAAACAACTTTTTGTGTGCACAGTTCCTGCAAATGTTCACTCACGTCAAGAGACTAACTTCCGTCACGGTCAAAAAAGATTTACCGTCTAGCGAGATTGGGAAGGATATAAGCAGTCCCTATGGAATAGTCCTTGACTAGCTATAAACCTGGGCCCGGTATATGGACGAGAATGTTTTCAAGCACATACATACTATAGTCATCTTGACTGTATTTCTTCTTCCACTCCACATAAACATCATTATCTCGGAAGGCAGTGAATCTAGCTTGACGATGACGGACGTTAGTCCTTTGCATTAAGCTATGATGTGGTGCTATTTCATCGCAGCAAAGAACTCTCCGCTCCTTAACAGCAGTGAGCATAACACCCTTATCCCGTAAAAATATAGCTATTTTGTCTGTGCCTTCGCTCGCGTGGTAACCCCACTTCCCGCATGCCAGTAGCAAACATCAAATAGCCTCCAACGCCATCCGCCCAAATGCTCTAGCAGTTAAGCCATTGACCATATTAACGCCCAATTTTCAGTCGTCTTAGGGACTTATGCCCTACAATTGATCGCGCTTCAGATGCATGTGAGCAACTTCAAGCCGTAGCCCTAGGCTTGGCCTTGGCCGCCTTTTTCTCTTGAGCCGCAACCTTCTGCTTCTTTTTCTTGTCGGCAAGCTTCTCGTCGTTCTTTCGCTTGAGACTAGCTTGCTCCTCAGCAGTCTTCGGAACTGGCTTGAAGAATCCCTCTAAGCGGCTCTGCTGTGCGCTCTTCAGGTTTTTCTGCAATCTTGCTGCACCACTGCGAACGCGATCCTCATTGAAGCCCTTCTCCTCGACGAGGAACTTGATGAGGCCATCGACGTCTGGCGCATCCCATTTGAAATTACAGTCAGGGTGGTCAGCGTCCCGAACCTCGGGCTCAAGGAACAAGAGACGGGCATCCTGGTAAGGCCAATCTTCAGGAAGCGTGTACTTCTTGGAGGTCTCGAAATGCTTGACGACGCCTTCCAGATCCTTGTGTTCGCGGATGAGCTTGAGCGCGGTGCTAGGGCCGATCCCCTTAACGGGGTCAACGTAATCGCAACCGAGAAGGATGCAAAGATCGATGAACTAATTAAAAAGTTAGAACGACCCTAACCAAAGTAATGCGGTATTAAACATACCTGTTTCCTGTCCATCTGCAATCCCTCCAAAACCCTGTCGAGATGTATCTCTTGGATGGGCTCCTTCCTCTGCTCACTGAACGTGAGGTGGCGGAGGAGGACTGGCGAGTCGAACGTCAAAGTGTCCATATCTTCCGAGGCTGCCGCATAAACCTTTCCGGCTCGCGCGAGTACGGCACACTGAGCTTCGGCTTCGGTAGGAGCGATGATGTACGGAACCCCCATAAGTGTCAGCAAGCGCTGACATTCGGCGTTGTGCTCCCGCGTCACTCGGACTGTTCTCCTAGAGAATTTCTCCACCTCCTCGGCTGTACCAGTCTCCTTGGCTTCCTCGTGGGATTCTTGCGCCTCGGACTTGCGTTGGAATCGCTTGGCCAATTCGCCAGACTTGAGCTTGGGAGGCGCGCCATCGAAGACGTAGAGCGGCTTGATTCCATTGTCGACCATGCGCAGAGTGCGGTAGAACATGCCCATGAGGTGTGAAGTGGTCTCGCCGGTCTCGTTCATGAGCTGCTGGCCGTCGGAGCGCACGGCGATCAAAAAGCTGTAGATGCTCATGGAGGCGTCAATCGCGACCTTGCGGCCGAACTGGTTTTTGATCTCGCCCGTCTTGACGGCATCTGGTGAGTTTTCGGAGATGATCTGGAAGAGGTGCTTGATACCCATCTTGGCTCGGTACCTAGTGGGGGTTGCGACAAGGGAAGGTTGAAGAGAGAGAGAGAAAGACAGAGGTGGGCTGCAGGCAGCGCGGAAATGACGCCAGTCGCAGGAAGGCGCGTCTCGCTCGTTCACCACGCGTTTCGAGCCTAGCGCGCCGCGGAGCTCAGCCCTACAACCAATGAGGCAGGCCACGCCGTGCGAAATAGGCAAGTCTAACAGAAGAATGCTTTGGTTCTCTCTATCTTGTCACTTTCACGCCCTATCCCCGGCAAAGGGTCTTGCGGCAGGAAGGTTGCGTAACATGTAGCACACGGCACCGAGCCTCGGCGTCATGACGGCGCGCGGGCAGCAACCGATTGGTGTGGGGTTGCCGAATGCCTCAATACATATCCCTCCCATCTTTCCCGTCACGCCCATTTCCTCTTGCCTCTGTCCTTCTCTACTTTGCTCTAGTATCTCATTTAACTCTGTACTTTGTGCCACCATGTTCAGGCCCGTTTACAGACATGCCGCAAGGCAATTGGGAGCCTCCGCGCGCAGCGTACCCGCCGCCCGCCGCCATATGCATACACCTGTACCCTTCGACTGGCAGGACCCATTGGGTGCTAAGAATCTCTACACCGACGAAGAGTTGGCTATTGCAGAGACTGCCGAGTCATACTGCCAGGAGCGAATGTTTCCTCGTGTGCTAGGTACGCATTAAAACAACCCGGCTTTCCGTGCTTCCTGCTAACTCGCCCTGCACAGAGGCCTACCGCAATGAAGATTACGATAGAAAGATCCTTGAGGAGATGGGCGAACTTGGTTTGCTAGGAGCTACCATCCAAGGTTATGAATGCGCCGGTGTTAGCAGCGTCGCGTCGGGCCTTATTACACGAGCGGTAGAACGCGTGGACTCGGGATACAGGTCTGGCATGTCGGTGCAGAGCTCGTTGGTCATGGGCGGCATCGACGACTTTGGCACTGAGGAGCAGAAGCAAAAGTTCCTTCCTGGTATGGCTAAGGGAAAGACCCTTGGCTGTTTTGGCTTAACGGAACCGAATCATGGTTCAGATCCTGGCTCTATGGAGACTACGGCTAAGCCGCATCCCACCAAGAAGGGCTACTTCTCCCTTTCTGGCTCCAAGACGTGGATCACCAACTCCCCAATTGCGGACGTCATGCTTGTCTGGGCGAAACTCCAGAGTACGGGCAAGATCCGGGGATTCCTTGTCGAGCGCAAGGATTGCCCTCCCGGCACCTTGAGCACGCCTAAGCTTGGCAACAAAAACGGTCTGAGGGCATCAATTACTGGCATGATACAGCTTGATGAATGCCCGGTACCCGAGGCCAACATGTTCCCTGATATCGAGGGTCTGAGGGGACCCTTTAGCTGCCTGAACTCTGCGAGATACGGCATTGCTTGGGGAACCATGGGCGCACTCGAAGACTGCATTGACAGGGCCAGGACGTACGCGCTTGAACGAAAACAGTTCAAGGGTAACCCCCTCGCCAAGTACCAGCTGGTCCAGAAGAAGCTGGCGGATGCAGCAACCGATGCAGCCTATGGCATCCTGGCTGCTTACCAGGTTGGCAGATTGAAGGATGAGGGCAAGGCATCGCCAGAGATGATATCCATGATCAAGCGCCAGAACTGCGACAGGGCTCTAGTCAACGCGAGAGTGTATGTGGTCCAGCCCCCGATATCGTGTTTTTGGCGTGCTAACCCCGAAACAGGTTGCAAGAGATTTTTGGCGGCAACGCCGTCAGTGACGAGTATCACATCGGGCGACATGTCTCAAACCTCTTTGTCACACAGACATACGAGGGCCAGAGCGATATCCACGGTAAGTGTCGTGATTGGCGTGAAAGGGTTGCCGTTTACTGATTGCTATCGCCACAGCACTCATATTAGGAAGAGCCATTACTGGCATCCAAGCCTTTTGTTAAATCGAGACGTGTCGAGTCGGAAGTTGGGAGTTGAACAGGCACAGGCGCTATGTCGTGTCACGGCGCATTTGGCATGTTGGGAAGACGGCGGGATGGGTGTGGACTGTTTTTGTGTGAGCTGGTATGGAAAGATGGGGGTGTCTGGGTTTTGGTTAGTTTTTGGGGTTAGTAGGTGGGCAAGCTAGGTAGTAGTAGTCATGAGCGGCAGGATGCAGAGGCCCAAGACCTGAGGTGAAGGCAAACACAGAAAGGGAGCGTGCTGCACTGCACAGCGTGTGTAGCGCATGCACGCGGACATAAGGCTGCAGGTGAAAGGAAGTGCCAAACGCAGGTACACACTAGGTGAGTACACCGGGACGCCACGTGACGGCGGGCTGGGCTGGGAGGGCTTTGAGTCAAGCTTGGCTGAGTGAGCACGGCTGAGGCGGCGGGCGAGGGATGTAGGTATAATAAAGCAGGCAACTGGGCTTTTTCTTAGGTTCGCTCTCCCCATTCACTACCTACCCCGTTGCCGTCGCTACGTCACGTCGGGCAGCCACGATTCATTGGAAGGACGCTAATCCTTGCCGTGCCAGTGCCACAGAGCCTACCCACTTCCCTTCTGGACGCTTGCAATCTTCAACAACACCGCTCTCCCGCCCGCTGCATCCCACGCTCTCCCTCCACATCCGCTCACCACCAAACCCACTCCTTCGACCATGGCTCTCAAGCGCATTAACAAGGAACTGACTGACCTCGGTCGGTATGTCGCCCCCTCGCCCGCCGCCCACGCTGCGCCCCTCGCCCGCCGCTCGCATGACGAGTTTGCGGGTGCGGGGCTGCGCAAGGCCATCACCACGATGCTCGATGCCGACCGCTGACGCTGCCGAATAGTGACCCTCCCTCGTCCTGCTCTGCTGGTCCCATCGGCGATGACCTGGTACGCACCACCACGCCCCCACACGCTTGCCCGTTATCCTTGAAGCCCCCGTACACCGGCTGCATCGGGCGGACATCTGACTGACGGCCTTTCTCATAACAGTTCCACTGGCAAGCCACCATCATGGGCCCCGTAAGTCTCTCTGCTCTTCACGAAGCCGCGGCATGGATGCCCGAGCCCACAGGCGCAAGGCTCTTGCCCGTCGACATGGCCAAAAACTCATCCTGACATGTATTGCGACAGGGTGACTCTCCTTACTCCGGCGGTGTTTTCTTCCTCGCCATTCACTTCCCCACCGACTACCCGTTCAAGCCGCCCAAGGTCAACTTCACCACGCGCATCTATCACCCCAACATCAACTCCAACGGCAGTATCTGCCTTGATATCCTCAGAGACCAGTGGAGCCCCGCCTTGACCATCTCCAAGGGTGAGATCGCCCGATCGCCAAATCACACAAGGAACTTTGATTGACATTTATTCCGCAGTCCTGCTCTCCATCTGCTCGATGCTTACCGACCCCAACCCCGATGACCCGCTCGTCCCTGAGATCGCACACGTCTACAAGACGGATCGTGCCAGGTACGAGGCGACGGCCCGCGAGTGGACCAGGAAGTATGCCATCTAGTGGACATATGCATGCTTACGGTGTCCTTGGTTTTTCTTCAGTCATGGCTTGCTTGCTTGGGAGGTCAGGTTGACATGGCATGGTCAAGAAGGTTCGCCACTCCATCATGACGGCCCTGGTAGTGGCGGTACAGGAGTGTTTTTTCCCAAAAGCACTCATGTCTCCTTTTCTCCTTCCTATTTTCTGGGTCGTTCACGATGCATATCCGGCCTTTTGATGACAATAGGAGTATAAGGGATTCGGCTTTCCAGTTTGCATGCGAGGTTCAAATTACAGAGATTGTGGCTGTCCCTTATTTTCCCCATGATCTTACGGTCTATTTCTTCTGTTCACTATTAGAATGCACGTGATTATTCTAGCGCTGACTTTCCATCACGGTCTTTCCATGTTTGCATCCCCCCAGCCTTGGGGGGAACCAAAAAATTTCAGACAGTGCCAGAACGCCACATAGGCTTGCTTGCAGCCGGCACCACCGGTACTGCATCGGGCGTCCACCAATGACACCGAGATGTCTTGACGTCGACCCAACAGACAACCGAGACCCTGACTCCCCCCGCTATCCATGATTTGTCCGCGCCGGGCGGCAGCACACCTTGCACCCCAGCAGGCAATCGCTTGCACCCACGACGACGACGGCAGCAGCGAAACGATCCGTGACGTGTTGGTGCTTCTGCATATCCATCCGATCCTGCAGCCTGCTTTCACGCGCGCACCCCAGCCGCCCCGCTCAAGTCAAGTGCCCCTCCAGGCGCGCGTTTTGGCGGTGACCAGAGAGCCGAGGTATGCAAAGATAGCCAAACGGCTCCAAGCCTTCTGTGGCTGGAGGATGCCTCTCCTCGGCGTGTCCAGACGGATCAATTGCTGTCCGGTTGACGCCCAGAATCTCGTATATGGCGGGGAAGGGGCAGGGGGCGCGATGCAGCCCGAGTTGCTCGCACCCCGCATCGCCGTCGTCGTCGGTGTCGCGTGCGTGGGTGGCACGCGTGTGTACGTGTGTGCGAGGTCTGGTTCGTCGTGGCTGCCTTTGATGCGGCGCGGTTTGAATACGGTGATTTCCCTTTCTCTCCTTCCATTCCGTCTTTCTTCTCGATTCTCTTTGTCTCTTCCTTGTTACACTCTCTTCCATTTCTCCTTCTATCTCTATCATGATGTTGTGGTTGAGCGGCAGCGACGCCCAAATACGCCAGGCCAAAAAGACACTCGCCGCAAGCAGACCAGAATGATGATAAATCATCACACAAAGACAATAACAACCAGGGGTATCACAAACACACACACGCTCTCGTTCTCCCTTCAATCGAAGACGATGGGGCGGTCGGCCTCGGGCGTATATTCGCCCGTTAGCCATCTTCCCATATATGTGTCCCAACGATGTGGGTCGAGGTGCGCAGTCTGTTCGCGCGCACGCCGCTGTCGCACCAGTTTTTCGGCCGCTTGACGTATCATGGTCAACGGTGGCGCGTACGTATCGTACTTGTGGTCGAACTCGCGCGTGAGATATGCCTGTGTGGCGTCTTCCATGCGCGTCAGCGTCTTGCCGCCGGGCACGATTTGGGCGCCTAGCCGGTCTGGGGGAGGTCCTGCTAGAGCGCCGGCGGCCGTCCAGGGCCCCTTTTCCCAGTCGTCCAGCTTCATCTTCTCCAGGCCCGAGTCGACGTTCAACCGCTTGTACCAGGTGTGCTCGCCCTTGGCGATGCGCACCATCGCGCGGTGCTGCTCCTCGCCTTCAGTGTACTTGATCAGCACATTCTTGAACACGGCAAACTTCTCGGCGACCTTGCGCATAAGCGCGCTGGTGCCAAAGGGGCCAGGCCAAGCGCTTGCAAATCCGTCGGCTGATTCGTCTGGCCGTCCAGTTCCAATGCTTAAGAGCAAGGCCGGGTTTCGGTCTTCTCCGTAGAGACTGACAAATTCGGACCATGCGGCGCCGGCAGGGTTGTTCTCGCGGATGCCACCGTCTTTGAAGCCTTGCTTTTCGCCGCGGATGTCGGCTTCGAGGATCTTGAAGTAGAAGGGGGCCGCGGATGTGGCGCGTGTCGCTTCCCAAATGCGCAATTTGTCGGCACCTTGGTTGTAAAGGGTAATGTAGTTGGGAATGTTTATGTACTGATGATTATAGGTGCGGAGCAAGTGCGCTTCGTTGACACGTTCGTTGTGAGTTGCCGTTAAGCAGATACTAAAATATCAGTTAGAAACACCCGTTGGAAACACAACATCTCCTCTGCGTTTGGCTGCAAGAGTAAGATTTTGATATGGGAAAGTTGCGTTTTGGGGACAACGTCCGATTGGCGAGTATCGCAAATTTGATTATTGTCGTCTTTTTCTGCCACTAGCTATCTCTGAGATGGCGCATATACCCTTGAATGCTAACAATCGGACAGGAAAAGACTGTAGGAGATAGCACTTACGTTTGACAGATGCGCTCCGCTGGTCGGAGGAAAAGGGAGCTCACAGGGTCCTCTTCCTCCTCATCCACATTCCAGGGATGCCAGTCATTGCCGTCACACTCGCCTTCTGGATGGATTTTACAATGCCGCCGAACGATCTCTTGAACGGCCCTTTCCAAAGGCTTGGTGCGATATTTGGTAGTCAAGGGCAATACGCTCCGTCTTTTGCCAAAGAGATCGTCTCCCACCTATGAACAAACGGAAATCAGGATGATATTCGTGTAGGTGCAGACGGAGATCATGATGACGGGGGTCAGATGGAGATCGTAATGACGGGGAGCAGACAGAGATCAAGATGATGGGGAGCAGAATAACGAGGTGCAGTGGGCGACAACCGACGTACCTGTCGGTAAAGATCCAGACATTGCGGGACACTCATCCGTAGCCTCCCAAGCATTGTCGCGATGAGGCCGCCGGTGCTCGTGCCGTACATGAAATCGAAGTAGTGGCATGGTAAGAGATCTTCTTCCTTGAATATCTTTGGCTCATAGGGTGGTGTGGAGGTTCCTTCTCGTTTCCTGTCTGCTCCAACCATTGCCTCTTCTCTCTCTAACCTGTTTTCGCAGGCGGCAACCTCGTGCATGAGTTGTTGGACTATCAGGAGGCTGCAGTACCCACGGATTCCGCCGCCGTCTGATGTGCCACTGTCAGTCAGCCCGACCAATATTATAAAGTGCTTCCATGGGTACGAAGCATGCTTACCGAGCGTCAGTATTGCAGGATCCCAGGGATCATCCACCTTCTGGGACCATTCAGTGCCGTTGTGGAAGGCATCGTCGAGAGTGGCAAAGGTTCGGATGCTCTCAGGCCTTTCGGGGACCCTCGACGGGTCGACGTGCAATGCCGACAGCGCCATGCCGGTGGAGACGGCTTGGAAGGTGGTGTCTGGGGTTCTGAGGCGGATTCGCCTGCTGCAAAAAATCAGTTATTGACGATGCAGAGATAGTCTGATATGGACGCGGAGAGGAGTCTGATATGGAGGCAAGGAGGCCCACATACGTCGTGATATAGTTGATTGCAGCTACATGCGGCTCCGTTCGTACGGACAAGACCAGCCACAATCAATAATTCGACCGGACTTCGGAGGGATTGGTTCGGCAGCGGGAAGGCTAGCGTGCAAAAACGCCATGAACGCGCGCCGGCCCAGCTATCAAGCGTCCTTGGATCTTCCCGGCGACTGGCGACGATCAGGCGTGCGAAGGTACAGCAGTCCGGTCAGACCCACGCAGCGGGGACGCAACTTTTAAAGAAAAAAGGTGCCTCTGCGGGGAGTTGCGCATGATGCGAGCTCGGGGCGAAGCTCTTGTTGCCGCGGGTGTGGCTGAATGATGCGTCTTGTGCGGTACCTGGCTCAGTCTGCAACGCGCGTGATGGTGTCCAATTGGCTGGCGCGTAGATCAACAAGCAGGTGATGCTGGCAGGTCAGCAGGCTGCATCAGCGGTGGCGTTTGGCTTTGGGTTTTGGGGGGAGCAAACACAACGTCAGAGACGCTAAGGTAGCTGGCAAACCCCAGACACAAGCAAACCCTCCACCGCATTCTTCGCGCGCCAAATCACCAGGTAGTTTAAATCGCGCGCCGCGCCCACACCTATACATATACCGCCCTACGTCACGCACACTTTGGAAGAACCCAACCCTCATCACCATTATGTCGGCCATAGGCACCTGGAACAGCACCTCGGCTGCGTCCACTTTGACGCGCAACAGCGAAAAGTACGGCCTCGACGACAAGGACACCAGCAGCATTCTAGTCTACAAGTACCGCGGCTCCCTGGGCGTCTCCTCCAAAGAGGAGCTGGCAAAGAGCTTGGACAAAGGTAGGGCAGCGGCGGCCCAAAATAAAAAAACCAATCCACCCGTCCATCCATCCATCCATCCATCCATCCATCTATTGACGCACACCCTGTAGACCCGAACCTGCGCCTGACGCGCAAGAGGATTCCCCGTGGGGACAGCCGGGTGGAGGTAAAGCGCGAGGACCTCTACAACGCGGCCGAGAAGAGCGAGTACGCCGAGTACCCCAATAGCAAGTCGGGCATTGCCAGCGTATGCCTGCCGCGCATCGTGTGGTTCAAGCGCCTGCTGTTCAACCAGTACGAGGACCTGTACATTGTCTCGCCCGAGACGACGCCGGCCAACTCGCTGAACGGCTCGCCCGAGTCGTCGCAGCACTGCTCGCCCAACAACACCTTGGAGCGGGCTCATGTCGCCGCCCCGCATCCGCACCACACCCCGGTTGACGACTAGTTAGTTCTGCTTTCCTTTTCTGTATCTTGCTTGTTTCTTTGTTGGCTCGGGCGTGCATGCCGGCGGCGCTTTTCCTTCTTTCTTCTTGTGAAGATCGGCACGCTGCCGCCGCATGACCCGTTTTGGCCTCGTCGGTAGCACAAAGGCTGACGGTGTGTCAGATGCTGGCCGTTGCTGGGTCACCACCGTAGTACGGCAACGTCGTCACTGAGACCTTCCTTCTCTTGACATGTATTGATGATCTCTGATACCCTTCTGTCATTTTCCTTGATGATGATTGTAGAGTGTGCGGTTTGGCGTTGAAGGATTTGAAATTGCTGCGAGCAGCCGCGGGTCTGCTTTCTTTTCTCGGCGTCGATGAGCGTCACGCAGACAAGAGTCATCCCCAATGATAGCTATGGGGCACGATCATGACGCAAAATAGAATTTCTCCGCACCACGCACCCCGCATCATTCAGCGCACTGCAATGTTTCATCGACACGGAGGGACAGCTCCTCCACCTGTTCTATTCATCTCGTGCTACCACCACCACCACCACCACCACCACCACCACTACCACGTCCCCACCTGTTCTGTTCTCCTCATCCCAGCTTGGCCTCGCCCCTGACGACGTCCCTGAGCAGCTTCAACCCCTCGACCGCAAACGCCACCATGTTGCCCTCCCTGTCCCCGCCCAAGCCCGTCTCGACTTCCCTCGTCGCCGTGCCAGCTTCTCCGCCCACGGCCAGCGCAACATAGCCCCTTCAAAATAAACAATAAGCAACGATATGGAATAAACAAAGAAAAAGAGGGCACTCACGGCGTCCGGTTCCGCGTCTCCCCGCCCGTCGGCCCCGCCGTCCCGCTCTCGCTGACCGCGTACGTCGCGCCGAGGGTGGCGCGCGTGTGGGCGGCCAGGCCGGCGACGATGGCGGGCGTGGGCCCGGTGTACCCGACCGTCGACTCGTGCGTCCAGCCCGCAAACGCGATGCGGGACTCGAGGGTGTAGAGCTGGGGTTGGGGAAAGGGGGGGTTAGTTAATGTGGGAGAAGGGATGGAGGAAGGGAGGAAGCTGCTGGTGACTCCTAGGTAGTTACGCACTGTGAGGCCGCCTTTGTAGATCTTGCTTGCGCCGTGCGTGGCGAGGAGGGCTGCTGATATGAGGCCGCCTGCTGCCTGTGTGGTGTGTGTGTTAGCTACTAGGTAGGTTGTCTGGTCATTCTTCTAGGCATCCGCCTGCTCTCCTGGATCACAGTCCTTTTTTCCCTGCTCATCCTCTCCGTCTTCACTCACCAACCGCACCCACCATGTGACAGACTCAGCCCAAAGCCCATTTACCAAAGCAATCCTTCGAGCAAAGGTGATAAAGAAGAAGAAGAAGTATCAACAATAAAAAAGGAAAAACCACCACGCACCGTCTCAGCCACAGCAACCGTCTCGCCCCGCTCCCTCAACAAGCCCGCCACCTCCGACGCTATCGCACGCAGCTCCAGCGTCAAAAACCCGCCGTTGCCCGCAGAAGAAGAAGAAGAAGAAGAAGCCATTGCGTCCTGCTCACAAACAGTGAACCGACTAGTGTTGTTGTTGGTTCAACGAGGTCGAGATCCAAGAAACCAAGTGAGTAGGAAAGAGAGCAAAAACAAGACGTCTAAACCAAACAGACTGGCAAGCAAAAAACCGACGTAGACAGAGATGTAGATATCGAAAGAACTACCTAGCGAAGTCGCTGACAAACCCTCTTCCCCTTCCCTCCCAACGAACCGGGCGACGAGGATGCCGATGCCGTCATTGCCCGCAGCTGAATAATCCATCCCCTCGCACCGTCACACCAGCCCGCAGAGGCGACCGAGGCGACGCCAGTGCCCAGTGCCGCACCCGCACCGCACCTGCACCGCACCGACGGTCGGTCTCGCTCGCTCGCTCGCTCGCTACGGACCGTTCCGTGCGGTCGTGACGCTGGGCCGACGTTGTCCGTCGTCCGAGGGTCCTAACGGGGCTGATATGACGCGCCGTCCCAGCTTTTCGCGGAGACGGCTCCGCGTTGGACCTACCTACCTAGAGTATTTGAATACATACATATCAAATACATGCGACAAGGAAAAAGGTCGGTCATGCGCGTCTCATCCCGCCCGACCGTTTGACAAGAGAGAGGTTGGATGGGAGGGTAGCAGTGGTATTTGCTTTGTAGCAGGTGATTATTATCGATACTCATATAGGTAGTAGTAATAGTTATAGTAGTAGCTAGATATGTAGTAGTAGTAGAGAGTATTACCAACCAACCACGCAACCAACTTCGCACGCGCACTCCTTTCGCACTCGCACCTAGTCGCAGCGTCCACTGCCTTGTCGTACAGTACAGTTGCACACAGCCCACAAGAGAGGCATTGCCAGAGTTCCCATTCCAAAGATGCAGCAGCAGCAGCAGAAGAAGAAGAAAAAAGTCCCATCCATCCATCCATCCATTCGCAAAGTATAAAAAAAAGTGGATCGGCCGTGCCGTCATCCCAGGTATCTAAAGTCATACAGTCATCAGAAGTATAAAAGAAAAAGGCGAAACCAAAAAGGCGAAACCAAAAAAAAAAAAAAAAAAAGGCTATATAAGTAGTAAGAGGTAGGAAAGAAGAAAAGAAGGTGTAAGTCATCGGCTGGTCGAACATAGAAGAGAGGCCCTGTCGCCCAAAAGGGGGAATCTCTGGATGTATCATCGCTTGAACGCCCAAATGCGAATACTTCATATAAGGTTCGCGCTGAAAGGGAAAAAATAAACACTCGCTTCACCCTCACCTGACCCCGTACTCTGGCTTCCGCGCCATGTTCACCATCGGCGGCGGGCCGTCCGTGTCTGGATACGGCAGGAAGCCGCCAGGAGCGCGGCTAGGCGGGCGTTGCACCGGCATCGCCGCGGTCGGGCTGCCCGGGAGGCTGCCCATGCCGTCGCGATCCGGATATGGTAGCGGGGTCTTTGGCGGGAGAGGAGGCGGCGTGTGCCTGCCATTCTCGGCGCTCCGGCGCGGCGAGGGCACGAACGAGCCGTTGGAGCTGCGGTGGGGCGAATGCAGCTCGACCGAGTGTCGCGCCTCGGGTTCGCTGTCGACGGGAATGGGGAAGTCGGCGTAGTCGTCGTCGTCCACGATGGGAGCGGGGATTTTCTCGTCGATCGAGAGGTGCTGGAAGTTCATGGGCGAGAGGAATTGTTCTGATTGCGGACGCTGTCTCGGAGAAAGCGGCTGCGGGGGAAGTACCACGTCCTCGGCGGGGAGCTCGACGGCCATGATGTTCGTAGGCGGCGAGGGCAGATTTGGCAGGTGTTTTTCTGGTTTTCCGCCGTCTAATGCGTCCTCCTTCACGCCACGCAGCTGGCGCTCCCAACGACTCTTCGCCTTGTAAATCTTGGCCATTTTGCAGGCTGCGTCCAAGTTGATGCCCTGCACGTCGGGCCTGGCCAGGTACATCCGGGTGTTGGTGCTGATCTCTGCAAGCCGGCTCCACTCGTTCATACCGAATTCTCCGACACCCACTTCCACGTTCAGGCGGTAGTAATTCTGCATGTTGACGCCGCGCCTGCTCAGGTGCTCCTTGATCATGTACTTGTGCGTGTCCTCGCAGCCTTCAATCTTGGAGATCAGGCGCCTCCGAGCCTCAGCAAAGTCTCCCATGCCGTGTCCAACGAAGCCTTCCCACCAAAGATGCTGCTGGCTGCTGGTTCCCGGCGGCCTCTTTCCCGTGCCGATGCTGACAAACACTCCGACCTCTCGTCCAGGCCACTCATTGCACACAGCCTCATCAAGTACCTGGGGAGCAGGGTTGTACTTTCCGGCGCCCTCGTCGATGAAGACGGATTGCCCGATTTGGATGGGCTTGAAGGCGAGGCCAGTCGCGGAAGTTGCGCGGCCGGCTTGCCAAATAGTGCAGTCGAAATCGGGTGCTAGTTCGGCCCGGGAATCGTAAGACCTAAGCATGGTGGCGTTACCGTTCTTACGAGTTCCGCGGTACACTGCCGTGACGGCGCTAGAATAACGTCAGCAAGCGCGTAAAAATAGCCGCGGGGCAGAGCGACTCACGTCTTGGTGCGGTTTTCTCTGTGGTCGTAAAGAAGGGCGTTCGGATTGCCCCAGCGCATGGAGCCGTAGGGAGCGCGTGGGTGGAGAGGCGTCATGCCAATCTGACTGTATCTGCTGGCCGTACTCGAGCTCCGGTGAGGCTGTTCGTCGTGGGAGAACCTTGGCGAGGCTGGGCTGCGGGGAGTGGAAAGGTCGGCGGATGACGCGGACGCCACATCGTTGCCCTCCTCTTCGTACGTCGTGTGTTGGCGCACACACTCGCGAATGGCCTCTTCGAGTTTCGAGGCCTTGAACAGCGTGGAGCGGTAGGGTATGCCGGCGATGGTCTTGTCGGTTTCGAAGACGCGCTTCGTCATGCGCACGTAGACATCCTTGCATGTTTCAAGGTCGAGCCGCAGGCGACCGAGCATGATGGCGATCAGCCCGCCAGTGCCGGTGCCCGCGATCAGGTCAAAGTGATCGCATGGCTTGGGGATTTCGTTTCGCTTGGGAGCTCGGCCTTCGATCTCGACAAAGGTTCGGTGCATGAGCTCCTGCAGGAGGATCAGCATCGAGTAGCCGCGCACTCCACCGCCATCTGAGAAGCGACACTGGTTAGCAAACTGCAAGTGCAGGGCCTCGGCGAGCGATAGCTTACCTAGCGACAGGATGCGCAGCGGTGGACCCTTGGTGGTGTCTTTTCGGCGCAGAGCGCCCGTGTTCTCGACGACTAGCCGTTCAGGCATGCCGGTAGCGGCCTGGAAAGTAAGGTTTGGGGGAAGATAGTAGAGGTTGGAGGAAGAGGAAGGGCAAGGTGCAAAGAGTCGGTGTCGCAAAGGTTTTGTAGGAGTGGGTAGGAGCAGGTAGGGATGTTCCTCGCACGAGGGCGGAGTCGCCTTTTTTGATTCTGCAGGTTCCTGATGAGCCTGACTAAACTAGCTAAGCCGCGTGGGCGACAAACGAGGGGGACAGAACAAGAAGTAAGAGAGAAAGAGAGAGAGAGAGTCACGGTCAAGCGGCAACAACAGGGCAGTGGCACGCGCATCGAGGTAACGGCCAATGACAACGGTGACGTCGGGATGCACAGCCCCTCGGTAACTACTGGCTTCGATCGTCGTGAGAGAGAGTAGAGAGACCCGCTCCCGCCGCCCCGTATTTGCCTTCCTGCTTCAGCCTTGTGGCGGAATCACCGGCCGTATCATGATGGCTAAGTATAGGTACCTAGGGTAGTTAGTTAGGGCTTCTCCTCAGACGACGACTCCTTAGGTCTTGACTCCCGTCCGTCACTCAGCCCCAATCACCATGAACATCGCTCAAGTATGTAACCGCTCTCCCGCTAGTGCGCCATGGCCATCTGCTTTTGCCCTCGTCTTTGACACGCGCCTTCGATAGCTCTACACCTACCCCATCAAGTCGCTGCGCGGCATATCCACGCCCGAGGCAACCCTCACCCCGTCCGGCTTCCAATATGACCGGCGATTCATGCTGCTCAGGGTCAAGGCCGACGGCTCCCTCGAGAACATGCACGTCTCGCGCTTCCCGCAGATGACGCTCTTCCACACGGCCATCACGCCGCCGTCGCCGTTGGCCGAGTCCGAGCGCGGCAGCAACGGCGCCATCACCGTGACCTTCAGGCCGCCCGACGGCGACCCTGCAAGCGTCGACGTGCCGCTGCACCCGGCCACCGACGACGCGCCCCTGCTCGACGTCGTGATGCACCAGAGCCCGACCAGCGCCTTTGACATGGGCCCCGCCCTCAACGGCTGGTTCTCGCGCTGCTTTGGCTTCGACGTCGTGCTCGCCTACCTGGGCCATCACCGTCGCCCCGTCCTGATGTCGCGTCCGCAGAGCACGTCGTCGTCGTGGTTGTCCTCGCTCGCGAGCAGCGTGCCCTCCCTGCTCGGCGGTAACAGCGGCGCCGACACCGCTGCCAAAGACGACGGCATCACCTTCGCCGACTGCGCGCCCGTGCTCGTCGTGTCAGCGACGTCGCTGGCGGACGTGTCGGCGCGGCTGCCCTCCGCCGAGCGGCCCATGGACGTGACCAAGTTCCGGCCGAACATTGTCGTGTCGGGCGCGGGCGCGGCATGGGAAGAGGATCTCTGGGGCGAGATCGCGACGGGCAGCGGCGTGCGCTTCAGCCTGCCGCACAACTGCTTCCGCTGCGCCAGCGTCAACGTCGACTACGCGACGGGCAAGCCCGGCGCCGGCGAGTCGGGCCAGGTGCTCAAGAAGCTGCAGAAGGACCGCCGCATCGACTCGGGCGCCAAATGGAGCCCGGTGTTTGGCCGCTACGGCTTCCCGGGCCCGGCCGACGCGGGCAAGACGCTGCGCGTGGGCGACGAGGTGCGCGTCGTCAAGCGCAACGCCGACGTGACCAAGTTTGGTGCGTACTACTGCTGCTGCTCGGTTCCTGCTACGGGCATTTTTGGGCTGACGTTGGTGTTTTTGTATAGATTGGCCCGGCCTCAGCAGCTTCTAGGCGAGCTTGCTGCGGATGTTAGAATTAGAGATAGAGATGCATTGCTAGAGATGAAGGAAACGAAACATTCATGCCTACCTGACCGACTAATTTACCTACCTACGAGTACTTCTCACAGTCCCCTACCTCCTCCCTTCAAGCTTCCATGCACACATCCCCCCACACGCGCTGTACACCCACCCCTCCTCCGATCTGCGATCTCCCTCCCGTCCCCACCTACCCACACCCACAATTCCCGCCACAATCCCCATCATGATTCCCATCTCTCGCCCCGCAACCCCCACACACACACACAAACCAGTCCCAGTCCCAGTCCCAAGCAAAAACCCAATCCCCGGTCCCAAAACCCAAACCCAAAAAACCCAACCAAACAAAACAAACAAAAAAAAAAAAAAAAAAGAGCATAACTTCAATCCTCCGAGAAGGGGGCAGTGCAAGCCGCAAGCCGCAAGCCGCGCGTTCCTGCGTTCTCGCGCGCTGGGGCGGAGCCAATCAATCAATCAGCCCATTGTTCCGCCATGATGGCGGTGCAGCGGTGTTAGTGTTTGCGATTTCGGTTTCGGGTTGAGACCCGAGACACGAGGAGAGAGGGGGGGAGGGGGGCGGACGGACTAGGTAGGTACCTAAGGTGGGTTGCGTACTCCGTCTCCGTGTCCGTATGGGGCTGAGCTGGAGGGAGGGAGGGTGGCTGCGGTGAGGCTGTGGTGGTGGTGCTAGGAGGTAGTGCTAGGAGGTAGGTAGGTATATATGAGAGGGTTTGTTTGTTTGTTTGTCTGTCTGGTTCTGGAGTACTTTTATTGCGTAGACATCGGGATGCACGCATCGCAAACAGCCGTTTGATCTACCTAGGTATATATATCCATCTAACGGATTCGGATGCAAGTAGGTAGGTAGGTGGTGGGTAGAAAAGTAATTAACAACAACATCCCAAACGCCTGAAAAATGCCCTCCTACACTACACACACACACTCACTTCCTCCTCGACTGCACCTTCCTCCTCTTCGCAAACATGGCACCGGCCTGGGCCCCCTCGCCCGACCCCCTCGGCCCATCATCCACCGCCCTCTTCCTGCTCCGGTCCAACGCGCCCGCAGTGCCACCCCTCTCCTTCTTCGACGTCAGCCTCTCAATGCGGTCGATACCCGCACCCAAGCCACGCCAATCCTCGCCACCATAGCCCCCAGCACCGCGATCGCGCTTCTTGGCGCGGTCCTTCTTGCTCTCCTTGGGCAGGCGCACAAAGTTGGACTCCTCGTAGTTGCGGCGCTCGGCCTCTTCCTCGCGCTCGCGCGCGCTCTTGGTGCGCCGCCCGCCGGCCTCGACGTTGCTGCCGATGCTGGGCTGGGCGAGGGGCGCGCCCGACAGCTCTGTCGCAATGAACTCGTCCAGCGTCGCCGACTTGGCCGGCTTGTACGCGCCCTTTTCCTCGCGGCCGCGCGTCGTGAACTCGGGCATGGCCGTCGCCGTGATGCGCGGCGGGCGGTAGATGCCGTCGCTGGGCTCTTCGCGCGCCGCCTTCTTGCTTTCCTCGGCCGCGGCCGCGGGGCGGGCGAAGGCGAGGGGGTTGGGGCGGTAGGCCAGCTCGTCAATGTCGGCGTCCTCGTCCTCGTCGGAGCCGGAGCCGGACTCGTCGTCGCTGGCGTCCTCGCTCGTAGCCTTCTTCTTCGCGGCAGGCTTCGCGGCCTCGTCCTTTTGCGCCTCGGCGCGCGCAGCATCTTCGGCCGCGCGCACCACCTTGTCGACCTGGTACTTGAGGCGGCCCTCGAGCGGACGCACGCCCTTCTCCAGGTACAGCCTCAGCTCGACGAGCTTCTTGACGACGGCCTCGTCGGAGTCGGACTTGGCGGCAGACTTGGCGGCGGACTTGGCGGGCGTGTTGCGCAGCTTGAGGAGAATGAGGAAGACGAGGTTCTGCAGGTAGGAGAGCAGCAGCTCGTTCTTGACGTCGAGGAGCGAGATGCCGTCTTTGGGGGGAATGGTGGAGTCTTGGTCGGGGACGAGTTCCGAGGCCGAGGTCAGGGAAGCAGTGAGGTTGCTCAGCAGAGCCGGCAGCGAGTTGTCTTGGGTCGCGGCCATGGCTGGTGGATTTGTCTGTCGTGGATGCATCGCAACTTCCCCGGCGCGCGTAACTGAACTTTTTTCCTTATCGCTCCGCTTAGTCACGCCCTTATCACTTATGTGATGCCTCAGGCACACACGCGAGCTACGCAGTCAAACACCATAGCGTGTCATATTCTCTATATATCCGTGGGTATCATTTACCACATCCTGCGCCTGCCAATGACGCGCAGCCGCTTGACGCCGCCGTCGGGGATGATGACGAGCTTGACGTGCGTGTAGGCCTTGCCGGCCACTTCCTTCAGCACGTCGCCCTCGTACTCGTGCTCCTGGTCGGGGCCGGCGGGCTGGGGCTCGAGGATCTCGACCCAGTCGTCGTTGTGGTGGCTGTCGGGGTCCTTGTCGCCAAAGTGGCCGGCAAACACCTGCATCTCCTTGGGGAAGTTGCCGCGGAAGTGGGCCGTGTCGAGGACGAGCTTCTCGATCTCGCCCTCGGTGCCCAGCCGCACTATGACCCAGTCAATGTGCTCGCCGCGCGTGCGCTTCGTCTCCCAGCCGTCGCCCATGTCGACGCCGCGGCCCGGCAGCAGCAGGTTGTCCTTGGTGCCAAAGTGTTCGTCGGAGCAGTCGATGGCGATGCCGCCGTTGACCAGGGCGGCCAGATCGAAGCTCTGATCGGCACTGCTGGGGAAGATGGGCACGGCCGAGCCGAACAGGCGGAAGCGCGCAATGCCGCCGTCCGGGAACATGAGCAGACGCACGTGGGTGAAGGCGTCCTCAGTCTCCTTGGGCAGCAGCCACGCCTGGCGCTGGTTGGGGCCGCACTCCTGCTTCGACAGGATCGTCTGCCAGCCGTCGTAGTTGGGGTCCTTGATCGCCTCGTCGTCGTCGCCGAAGCATCCCTGCACCGCGATCTCCGGCGCGTGGTTGCCCGAGAAGAAGGACGTGTCGATCTCAATGCCCTTGACCTTGCCGCTGGCCACTCCCAGCCGGATCACCACCCAGTCCGCCTCCTCCGAGTTGTGCCGCCGCGTCTCCCACCCGTCGTACCAAGCTCCGGCGTGCGTGAAGACGCCCGGCTTGCGGACCGGCGCCGTGGGCGTCGTCAGGTTCTCAGCCGCCGCGAACCATTCGTCCGAGTACGAGAGGATCTTGGAGCCCAGAGGCTTGGAGATGAGGTCTGCGAAGCTTTGTCAGAGCTAGTGTGCGGAGAGGGGAGGCTGGGCGACGATACCAATGCATTTGATAGAGGCAAAGGCCTTATCGATTTCCTCGGGGATCAGATGGCGCACATCGTGCGTGATGCTCTGGATGAGGGAGTTCAGGTTCGGCATGGTGCTTCGAGTGGGATGGATGGTCTAGGGGGCTCTTGGGAGCTAAATATATATCATTATCAGTCCCAAGCTCCGCCCTCAGCCTGACTCGATACGTTCACGTACAACTCAGGGCCCCTCTTGCCGATGGCGGGGCAGCTCACCGCCCGGCATCCTACGCCCGCCCGGCATCCTCCGCCATGCGGCCGTTGCGCTCGTGTTTGGCGCCAGGCCTAGCTTCCAGAGCTCCCTTTCTCGTGCTTGCAATTGCGGCGACGTCGAGCTGCGCGGGTGTGACGCAACGGATGAGGCTGAGCGTGCCCAGAGAACCAGTTACCGTAAGCTGCATACGTAGCGAGCCCTGTGCTCCGCGAGCCTCAAGCATTATTGCAACATCGAATTGATGAATCGAACCCACACCGGTTCAGATCATGCACCGAAAGGAGCAGAGTGACGCGTTCATGGCACAATGGCAAGGCCTGGGCCCGACCTTGACCCGATCCGTCTCTTCCGTCCAGTGTCGAGTGAGTGGTATGGTCTACAGCGGAGTATGGTTGAGGTGCTACGTACATACAAAGAGTCGAGTAAATAATGAGACATGAACTCCCCGCTAGATCTTCCGCTCAAAAATAAATACCCAAAACAAACTGATCCCTCGACCCCAGCCCCTGGCCAACTCCAACAACCAGCCACTGCCTTCTGCCTGACGCTCCTCAAATGTCTTGGCTTAAGATTTTATCCCATGTCTCCAACGCCCAACCTAATGACGGGATCTCCTTAGGGGGTATATCCTCATTGATGGATTCATCCTCAGAGATGTCTTTATCCTCCTCATAGATGGCTTCATCAATCATCGAAGTGTCACGCCCTTCCTCCTCTCCCTCCGAGTCCTCGAACAACACCCTGCTGTAATCGTCCAGGTCCTCCGTGCTCGACGCTCCCTGAACATTAATCAGCGCTCCTTTGTTCTGCTCCTCCTCTGGCTCCGCCTCAATCTCGGGGTCAATACCGCTCCAACTGTCTGCTTCCTCTTTCATCTCCTGCATTTTGCCATTTGTCTCGTCCGCATCGCTTTCGCTAGCACTGTCAGGCTCGGTATCGCCGCCTTCAATCCAGTCATCTTTTATTTCGGCTGGCCCGCTGTGTGGTGTCGCGTAAGCGAATGACATGGCGCCTTTCTTCTGTGATTGTGCCGGATCGTCAGCTGTGGCTTGACTGTGCTGCTCCGATGAACTTGGAGCTGCATCCAAAGGCGAAGGGGGCTCTTTGGAACGCCCAGGCGTGAACCCGTATGGGCCGGCCTTCGCACCTGACGAGGCATCAGGAGGCCGAACCGTACGGCGGCGCTTCGTACTTGAATATGGAGGAGCTGGCACACCAGGGTGGCCTTGTGATGCCTTTTCATTTTCAAAAGAAGCAGTCATGGGACGCTTAGACCGGTGTGTCTGCGCAGTCGAGTCGGATAGTTCCTCTGCAAACACCAGCGGAGAGATGGTACGTCTGAATGGGCTTGCTCGTTGAACTGACTCCGTTTGCGGTGTCGGCAGCTGCTTACGGACCGGGCCTGTTGGCTCAGACATAGCCTTCTGGTGGGGTGCCGGTCGCAGAGAAAGCTGGTTAGAGGCAAATGAAGCCGAAGGATCTTCGCTACCTTGAGATAGACAGCTTTGCTGTGAATTTAGCGAGGATACTTCACTGTAAGGAGGATCTAGGTTAGGGTTGAAATTCCAGCAAGCTTCCAAGAGATCAGCTTTTTCGACCATTCTGCTTCTTGACCGATACTGGTTATCCTCCGGTAAATGCACGCGCGGAAGCTTCTTGATGCGTTGCCAGGTCCAGTTAGACATTTCCGCGTCACTGTTCTGCAGGTAGCCATCGCGCTGAGTAACGTATAAACGTCTCAAAAAACCTCCCGGTGCCCGCATCAAGACGCTGCTTTTCAGAAAGTCGGCTGTCCAGACTGCAGGTGTGACCATCTCATCGTAAGTCAGAAACTCGAGACGATTCTCCCTGTGGACCTTTCGCAATGGTATGAGTGGTGCGCTGAGACCGTGATATCCGTCCGTTTCACTGGCTGAACCTTCGGTGGACGCCTCGTTCAAGATTTCGAGCGTCTCACCAAAAGTCTCTATGATTGCCTTCATGACGTTGCAAGCTCCATTGCTCCTGAGAGTGACCTTCCGAACAAGTCCCCGACTTTTCAGTCGATTGTAGATGTATCCATGGCGCCCTGCCGCTTTGGGTACAAGGACATGGTGTGGCGGGTCAGTCCAGCCTTTGGTTACAGCGCTCGTCAGCCGTTTTGTGGTCTTTGATGGCGATCGAGTAGTTCGCTTTCGAGATGATTCATCCGAAGCTTGCGATGACAGTAATGAGTTGCCAAAGTCTTCGTCCGGTGACAACCAAATGCCTTTTAATTCTCTTCCCCAAGGCAAGAGCACGACCTCAATCTCCCACGGAGACGTTGGCGAGGGTAGGGCGGAAGACTCAATATCTTCAACTCGCTGCTCGAGAGATTCAAGACGTTCCTGAGTGGAGTTTCCGCCGTTTGATCCGTCGGAGAACGAGCTTTGCGCTCTACGCCGCCTGGTAACTCTATCTTCTCCCTTGTCATAGTCCGCATCAACAACAGTCTGGAGCCTGTCATTGTCGTTCGTTCGGTATTCCAGCTCGACAAGCCGACCATCGAACCATTCAAACTTTTCGTTGATTTCTTCGGCGGGAATCGTGTAGAATGATGCGTTCTCAAGGGCATTTAGTCGATCCATAACTTGTTGGAATAATGATGAGACATTAGGATAACCAGTCAGGTGCTTGTGCATGGTGTCGAAGTGTTGCGCAAGTTTACGCAATATCAGTTTGTCGCGTAAAGGATCGGCTGTATCCACATGGTTTCCGGGGTCTGCAGTGTACGAATGCCTCCGGTTGGGATTTAGTGCAGCATTTGGCCAAGAATTTGGAGTCTTCCTTGTCTGCTCACCACCAGCGTCTTCCTTTCCATCGTCGGCAACATCGCGCCCAAATATGCCCGTCAGCGTACCCGCTGCATGAATGGCTTGCTCGAATGTTTTCAGGTCGGGGGTAGTTGGAGTAGTGGGCGTGGCCACCTCCGTAGAGCTCGGGATCAACTCATCTGGGGGGACGGCATGCTGAACGTCAGGATGACGCCTTACCTCACGCATACGCAGAACGTGATCGATGAAAGTTTGGCTGGGGCTGGGGCGAGGGCCTACTTCTTCCCCGTCTGTCGAGTACTGTATCGTAGGTGCTAGCGATGGCTCACGCTGTTGCTGAAATGACTGCTGTTGGCCTTCGGGGTAGAAGGAAGTGAGGCAAGCGTTGTTCAGCCGATCGGCCATGGAATGCATGGAGAGCCCCAAGCCTGACGAGGTCTTTTGAGGAGCGTCATGTATATCTTTAGAGCGATGCTCAGGGCGCGTGTCAGTCCCGTCGTTGCATGCGCCTGTAGGCAATGGCTTACGGTCGTCCGAGTTCAGGAAACACATGGACGGAACGCTTGAGAAGCCTGGGCGAAGGGCATCCGTTGTGTCTCTGTGCTGGACGCCTGATGGAGGTCTCTGGTCTCCAGGTCTTGTAGCAAAGTCACGTACCGATTGTTTTCCATTATCCAACCCAACCTGCCCTGGCCCCAACCACGACTGCTTTGTGGGCGCTGGCATACTTTTCGTGCGTCCTAGAGCTTCCGGGTCAATGGGCTCGTGAAGGACTGCGCCGGAACGATCCTGGGATTTGGAAACATCAAAGTATACCCCAGGTCGAACCTCTATGAGTTGACCCAAAGACCCCAATGGCGGCGTGGCCGCATTCCCGAAGGACAGAGCAGCTCCGGGCTCGATAATGTCGTGGAAGCAGGCATGGTGACCGCATATACAGGCGAGGTTGTTCGCATCGTCGTTTGTCGCAGCAGGCTGAGTGCACCAGAAGCGTTTACAACCACACGTGGGCGCATTGGCGCCGGAGCCAAGGTCGCGAAAGTTGCACGCGCCGCCCGGTAAGGAATTGTGCGAAGAGAAGGATCGTGCTAGCATGTGCGACTGCCCCGAACGAGAGGGAGTCTGGGGCTGCGAAGCTTGGGCGAAAGCCGCCATGGACGATCCCAAGCTAGGCAATGTCGGGCGGGTTCATTGAAGCATGGCAGGGACTACCGGGAGTACGCGTTAGCCTCGTGGTTTTTCGCAGGCCAACGGGCGCGGAATGGCGGAATGGCGGAATGGCGGCCTACGTGATCGGAGACAAGGGCGTGCGGCGCGAGGGAAAGTGGACGGGGACGGGAGCGAGCGCGAGTGCTGCCTGGAGTTGCGAGGGCGCGCGAAAAGCAGGCGACAAGGCGATGGATGAGAGAAAGACAGGTGGGGAGGGCAGCCCGGCGATAAGAAACAAGACATCCAAGACGGCGGCCAATGCACCACAACAGACGACCCGACAACCGTTGCTTGTCGAATGAGGCTTTTCTCGCCCATGGCCGCGCCCTGCCATTGGCCACGCCAGATCGTGGGGATAGCCTCCCGCCATGCCGCCCGCCCCGGCCCAAGGGCCAAGCACAAGGGATTCATGACGCAAGAGCTAGTTTGACCAAGATAAATAAAAAAAATATAACCAGTCACCAATTGCACGAAGAAGCCATTCGCATAAAACTAACACAAACCATGCATCCAGCCAGTCACGTGCTGGGCTGGGCCCTGAGATCCATCGCAAAGAAAAAACCTTCTGGATTCGTCATACTGTAACCATCATCATACTATGTACTACACGTCTGTTCCTTCAGAACCCCAGCGCCGAGTTGAACGCATTAGCTGCCGCCTGTCCCTCCTTGTTTTTCGCCGCCTCGGCACCCTGGTTACAGGCGTCAATGGCCACGTCACTGGCCTTGAACTTGTCACTGAGTTGCTGGCAGATGAAATCCGTGACAATGCCGACACCAGTCGCGGAGCCGTGGGTAAACTCGTCTTTGTCGGCCGGCTGGAAGCTATCCTCCTTGCGGTTGTCGAAGCCGGGGCCGAACTCGATGGTCGGGTTGGTAGCGCTGCCAATGTCGAGTTTGGATGACGAAGCCTTCGAGTTCGAGTTCGAGTTTGAGTTCGAGGTCGAGGTCGAGCCAGTCGCGACGGAGGCCGCGGAGGGTGTGGCGCCAGCAGCTGCCACGCTAGTCCCGTTGGAGGCTGCGGAGTTGCCGCTCGTAGAGGTACCGGTGGTGCCGGCAACGGCAGCCTTAATCTCGTCGGGCGTGGCGTCTTCGACGAGCAGGCCCTGCGTGAAGATGCAACCTTCGGCGTCGTTCGCATCATCACAGCTGTTTCCAGCTGCAGTCGGGTCGTCCTTCTTGCCGGGCTTGAAAGTTCCAGCCTTGAGCGCCGTTTGGGGATCTCCTCCGATGGACGCAATCTGCTTGGCCAGTTCAAGGGTGACTTCCTTGTTCTTTTTGGCTGCGCCGTCCGATGCGGGATCCTACTGCACATCAGTGACTCTTGGTCCGTGTTGATCATAGAGAACTAAAGGACTGACCTGGTGCTGAGTGAGCGCTGCAATTTCGGGGTTTTTGGCCTTGATGCTCGTGCATTCCTTGCTGGTTGCGCCAACAGAGGCAGAGTTGCGCTCCAGAGCACGATAAACTAGTGCCGCGGTCATACCATCGACATCATCAGCTGCCTTTGCATTTGTGAAAGCTTGATCGGCAGTAGCCTGCTGAAGACAGTCTAACAGGCATCATGTCAGTATTCTCAAGTTACTGACGACTATCATTTGAGGGCGTGTGTATACCTGGGTCGCTGATCTTTCCTAGGCCTTTCTTTGCAGCGGCATTGCCAAGTAGTGCGAATACGGGATCTCCAATGTCGTCTGGGTTGTCCTCCTGTAAGCTCTTGCCCACCGTCCTCAGGAACTGCTCGTGCGAATGTTCTTGTGGGACTTCGCGGCGGACTAGCTTGTGTCGGAGAACAGGGCTTGCTGTAACAGTGACCAGAGCCAGCGAAAGGGTAAAGAGATAGCTTTGCTTCATGACTGTGGATCGTGGAAAAGGCGTAAAGGATTATATAGGTGAGTGTATTAGAGATGTAAGTGTCCGTTGAGTGTATGCTTCAGATAAATGTAAAAGGCCAGCCGCGTTGGGTTCTCCAGGAACGATGCGGAATATAGAAAGGTAATGATTGAATCAGGAAAAGAACGATTCGTCTTCTGATAGGTGAATGCAGGATGAGCCAGGGAAAGGACGAACATCGCCACATTTTATATTCCACTTACCGGCTCACGATCTAGTTATACCCCAGCCATAATGTGAGGCCGTGTTCTCACGCTTCACGCAGCAAAAGCAACTTTCCATCATGCCGCCAGCTAGCCGCACGCCCTCTCTTCTGCAGCATGAGCACAGCGCTCTACCACCGGTGCGATCCAGTGTTCAGGCATCGGCCCGTGCCGTCAAGATGGTCGCAGAAAGTTGTCCGTGTCGCAGATGGTGGCCTTGAAGCGAGGCGAGTCAAGCTTTCGGCCCCCTGAAACTCCACCAAAACCCCAGATGCTCAACGTCGATCCCGCCGACAGTAAAAAGCTTGGCCGATTGCCAGCGCTACGGAAGGCGATCGGTGGGGTGAGGGAAAGGATGGGAAGTGGTTGTAACGGCAAAAGTTAGGACTCCTGCAAGCAGGATGAATTCTCAAACCTAGGTTCACGTACTTAGAACTGCCAATGCTGCATTGAAAGACACTGAAAATAGCAGTGTTGGATACAACAAATTGTCAGTGTGCATGCCGAAGAAGGCACCGAAATCCTCAAGCAACTCTCATTTACCTCCCTGCGCAACTGACCACAGTGCCACATGGATATCATTCGCGGGCTGCAGCACGATGTCACTCTTCAAGCCAGGATGTCCGTCCATCCTACACTCGATCCTCTCAAACTGCTGCAACAATCTTACAACCGTATACGCCATCTCAGTAAGCGCGAATTGTTGGCCAACGCAGAGCCTCGGTCCCCCGTTGAAAGGGATATAGGTCCAAGGCTTAGGTGTCCAATCATCCCAACGCTCCGGTACGAACTCCTCGACGGGCGGGAAGCCGACCGAGGTTGGCGGGAAGATGTCTTCACGTCTCTGCATGATAAGCGTCGAGTAGGCTACTGACGTATCTTTGAGGACACCGATGGGCGCGTTGCCGTCAGGGCCGCCACCACGAGGTAGCGTTGTGTCGTGGAGGGCGAACCGGACGTTGAACGGGACGACGGGGTAGAGACGCAGGGTTTCGTTGAGAGTGTGCTAAGCGGAAGTTTGAGTTTAGGAAAGTAGGAAAATGCGTGTACGCTTTCGCACTTACTTGGAGATACTTCAGTGACTTGAGGTGCTCATAGGTAGGTTTATTGTCCTCCCCAACTATCTCGGTGATTTCTTTGCGAAGCTTGCGCAGGATTTCAGGGTGAGTTGAAAGTTCATAGAACAACCAGGATAACGTGCACGCCGTTGTGTCCCTACCCGCAAGCAGAACAGCAACAAGCTGATCACGGAGCATACTCCTGTCCCGTGTGTCACCGGCGAGGGCATGCAAGAAAGTGTAACCTTCATCATTTTTCGTCTTCTTCTCCAATTCTTCTGGCGACAATGCTAGGGTCTCCTCGATGAAAGGATGGATGAACTCGTTGATAGTCCGAATATCTTTGTGGAAACCTCTCTCGGGAAGGATCCATGACATCGGACTATACTCATTATTAGCTTATCATCTTTCTCTAATCAGCAATTGATACACGCACCCGGCTCCAGAGCGAAGACTTTGTGTGTGTTGAGCTCGAGCGAACGCCTCAGCAAACCTAGCCTGAGGATATTCCAGACTGTTTACACTATGGCCAAGCAAGAAATCGGTGGCTACATCTAAGGTATATCTAAAGGTTCAACCGTTAGTAAATTTCGCATTGAGTTTTGTCCCCAATTTCAACTAACCGGAAGAACAAGCTTTTCACATCAACAGTCTCCCCGTTCCCGTAAAGGTGTTTTCGCAGCACTGGGATATGGCTTTCGAAAACCTTTAAATCGCTGAGTCTGTCTCTGATGAATTGGGGCCGAATCAGTTGCCTTGAATGATGCCACTTGTCGCCATCAGTCGTGAAGATGCTGTCTCCCAGAAAATCATGCCAGTCCCTGTTGAACTGCTCTCCTTTGCCGTAATCTGCAAACTGTGTTGCCAGAATTGCTTTGATATTTTCTGGGTCGGCAGTGATGACGGCACGAAGTCCACCGCGGCCAGTTTCGATTGTATAGGGATTTAAAGGATTGCCCCAGTGGGAGAACAGCTCACGCCAGAACTGAAGGCTCCTATTTTCGTTCTGAGATTTGACTATTTGATAGACCAGGTCAAGGCCAAAAGGCACGTAACTGATGCGGACCGGCGCGTGGCCGCCGAGAGCCCGGATCCTGCGTGAGGCATTAATGCCGCTGGCGAGTTGTCGAGAAGCGTAGAGGACAATCAGGAACGCGACAAGGCTTAGCAAGTATACTCGATCGAAGAGCTGCTCCAACATGATGGCGGCTGAGTTTTAGGTATGTGCAAAATGGCAACGTCGGTTTCCACGGAAGCAGCGATGAACTTCAGTCCGGAATCCATCCTCAAATCCTGCCGTCAGGCTGGTGGCGCAATCCCGTGAAGACACAGCAGCAGACTTCATCCTTGGTAGACCCGGAGTTAAACTCAATTACGTCTCCGCTGCATACATCATCCCGAGCTGTGGCTGGTTACCATGTCAACCACTTGGCGTATGGTCTGCGGGGAACTAAGCGAGGCTAGCAAGATGTTACTTTAAACCACATGGAGTCTCCAATGGCCGTAATTCAGGCCTGTAAGCAACTACACATATGTCGTCACAAGAATATGCAGTCATCATGCAGCATGAGGATCTCAACCAGGAAACATACCATGCAAGCATCCCGGCCGTCAGCCGGTGGCTGAACTGCTTCGGTGCATTGGATCCCGCTTTGCGAGGGTGGTGATGTTAAGATGGGCGTTGAGTCGCAAGGGGCACCGGGCGGAACCCTTGCTCCAGCCTGTTTGGCGGATGACCTCGCTACACAGAAAGGGGAAACCACGCCGAGGCAGCCGTTGAAAGTGCGGGGAAGCTATCAGCAACCTTGCAACGCCAAACCCGCTGATTTCCCAGCACAATACGCCCTCACTACCAGCGCCCAATGTGCAAAGTAAAAGTTTGTCATAGTGGCTCTTTTGGTCATGAGACATTGAAATTCTTTATCTACCGTGTGTATGCAAGGTTGACGCTCAGGAAAAAAGACTTCTGCTAGCTAACCAGATCCGTGATGATACCATGTCCTGCACCAAGCCAAAAGCGAGTCGCCTCTCTATCGTCGCCAACACATACAGATCCATCGAAATTCCATGACGCTTCTTATCGCTCCAGACGCTCACAGAGAGCATTGAGTGCCGTTCATGGTGCAGAAAGGCATCTGAATGGGCTCGGCCTTGACACCACGAGCCACCAGACGCTCCCTGAAATCGCTCAGCCTGGGGCTGGCCTCAATCTGGCTACGGTTGTTGCCCTGAGCATCCTTGGGACCACTCCAAAGAACTTCGGCGGCAGCCGCAGCGCGGGGCCAGAGCATAGAGTCGAGGTTGACGGAATCGGTCTGCTCCATCCAGAGATGGCACTCGCCCCCGACCACGAGGTGCTGGAGATCCTTGGGGACGCCGCCATACGGATCATAGGAGTACATCAGACGCCAGTTCTTGCGCGGGTTGCAGTAGTCGTTGAATGGATAGTAGGTCTGGGCAGTCTCGGGGCTGAAGTCCAACCATTGACCCTTGCCACAGTCGAGGTACTGGAAATATGTCAGTTTCAAGTTTACATCCACCCGACACAAGCTTAACATACCCAGTAGTTGTAGTTGCCCACAAGTGCCTTGTGGCCGCTAGCGACAGTCTGCGCTACAGCTTCATCGGACTGCCAGGTCTGGACCAGAACATCCTTGCCAAGGGTCAGGTTCCACGTCAAAAGCATCTCCTCCCACACGATAGGAGTAAGGCCTGCGTTGCGGACTTGGTCGTGGTTGCGGTCGACGAACTTCTGCATCAGAGGCTTCAGGACAGCGGTATCATTGGACTTGACAGTGTCGTCGTGCAAGTAGGCCTGGACGTTAACCTCATCACCTCCGGTGTGGAAGTAGGCAGAGTACGGCTTGACGCGAGGCAACAGGTCGTCCAGCACCGTGTTCAAGAAATCGTATACCCTAGTGTCGTTGAGCTTGAAAGTTCCGCACGGCGGCTCAGCGCAGTACGTGCTCCAGTCAGGCTGAATGTTGAAGGCCGCGATGAGCTCCGGCTGCGAAAACGCAACTGAAGAGGTGTGTCCAGGCATGTCGATCTCGAGAATGGTCTCAATGCCCAGAAGAGTTCCGTAATATTGGATGTCCTTGAGATCCGCAGGCGTGTACACCATGTCCGGAGAGAAAGCGCCCTTGGCAGACAGTTCGGGCAGAGCGGGAATGACCAAAGGCCAGGACTGCGCATCAGTAATGTGCAGATGGAAGCGGTTGAACTTGGTAAAAGCCATGGCGTCCATCACGCGTTTGATGTCAGCAACAGGGTAGTAGCTCCTGGAAACATCCATGTTGAAGCCACGGTGAGCAAACTTGGGGGCATCCTTGATGTTCACCGGCGCGAGATTCGTGTAGGCACCACCCTCGGTGTGCTTGAAAAACAGTTGAGAGAAGGTGGTCAAGCCATGAACAAGTCCGATCGATGAGGCAGCAATGATAGTGACATCACCAGCCTCCGGAACAGTGAGAGTGTAGGACTCATCGACGGTAGTGTCTTCAGGAGTGGCAATACCGGTAGAGTCAGGCTTGGTCTGCTGAAGAGTAATCGAGGTGATGCACTTCTTGTCCGCAGTCGGCGGCTCGAAGTCAGAGTTGCGCTCATTGAACTTCCACGGGACAAAGTTCTGCTCGAAGATGGTCTTGTACGTGCGCAAGATAGCATTCTGCACGATCAGCTGCGAGGAGTTTCCAGAGTTGGAAGTAGCCTGGCGAAGGTTGTCAGCTAAGAATTAGTGTAGTGGGAAGGTGGGTGTCCATACATTGACATTGTAGGCGATCTTCACGTCATTGTCGATCCAGAGGGTCGTGCTTCCGTGGTCGTACTCGGAAGGGATGGGCCAGATGGCCGACACGAGAGGGGCCACGAGAGCGAGGGTGATGAGTCCAAGGAGCTTCATGATGGGAGCGACAGTCGGGGAAGTTGGAAGCGACAGTCGAGAGAGTTGGAAACAGCGGGTCATAAAAAAAAAGTAAAAGTGCGCGGGGGGGCGGGTACCTTTAAACCTGGACGTGGTGAGTGCATGCGCGCGCGCGGTGACTGCGCGAGGTGACTGGAAGTGCTGCGCGCGGTGACGCGAGCAACAAGGCGTTTGCTAAAGCAGGAAAGAGCAGCTCAGTGGGGTTCCACCGCAGGCGGTTGAAGAACCGAGCCAGTTACCCCGGCATCAGCAGGTCGAGACCGGGCGGCTCAATGCTCAGCTCAGCTCATTAACATACGCATTCCTCCCAGACTCTTTGCCGTCGGGCCCTCCTCACCTCGAATGAAGCTCGTCTGAAGAATGTGTTGGCTAACCGTACGTAGCTCATTTGCCGTTTTGGTGATCGACCGTCAATCACTCACCACCACGCATCATCGCCCCCATGTGTTTCCAAACGCCCTTCTGTGGCTGAGACCTGCCAAGCCTCCACCATGCGCTTCATGTCTAGCCCCGCCAGCACGAGGGTCAGCCCGACTCCTCACTCGGGCGGTTTGCAGCCGCCAGCCGTGCAAACATCATCACTCGGCAAACGGTTTGTCGGACAAAGTAACTGCATGTGTAATCCTATCTATAGCATCTATGCATCTCTTTCTTTTATTCGTCGTACACTGGAGCCACGAGCCGCGCCGACATTCATCACGACGCCTGTTCTCGTGAGCCCCAAAGACTATTCAAGTCTATCCCATGCGCCTATCGCTATGCCAAAAACTGGAAGGACCGCTTATGCTATTAGGGGGTATAAAGCGGCAGATTAAACCGAACCTGATGCTTAGGACAGGAAGGCAACGGCGAAGAAGAAGCAAAATCCAAATGCGCGCCACAGAATGTCAGTGCGACCGCCGGCGTTGGTATGAGTCGGGGCCGGAGATGCGCCCTCTGAAGAGCCAGCTGATTGCGCCTGGGCCTGTGCAGCGTTGTTAGCGTCGGTTCAAGTAGTGGTGGCAGCAGTGTGGTGGTGGAGAGGAAGTCTGCTGACTGTAGGTGTTCATTACCTTATTAGCGCCAGACAAGGAAGAAGCCGACTGAGATGCCGATGGCAATGAGGTAGATGCACCGGCGTGGGATGTCGACTAAGCTGAGGTCAGTTCATACGTTCTAGCTGAATAATTTCGGAAAATTCCTTACTCACAGGTGCAGAGCTAGGCGGGATTACTTTGCCTGAACCGGTGACTGTCCAACCACTTGGAAGGCCGGGGTAGTTGGTGGCAGACACAGTTGAGGTCGAAAGCGTCGTCGACTCTGGCACCCAGGGGTAAACAGACGATCTGACGATTGTGGAGGACGAGTCCTTGCCAGACCACGGGATTGGCTGGCCACTGGCGGTAGACGTAACCGCGGGCGCGTCATTGTCAATAACGGCGTCTCCAGAGCTGACTTTTCCACCAACTACCTTGATCGACTGCCAAGTGCCGCTGTTGTCGCCGTACTGGTACTGCTTGCCGGTAGAGTAATCCGTCACGCTCAAGGATTTGAGCACCATAGAGAAAGGTCCTTGTGAGTAGTCCGTGGCTCCACCTGCCCACTGGACTGTTCCGGGCTCGTTGAGATCGACATCTCCACCTGCCCATGATCCCATCTTGATTTGCATGGGTGTCTGGGGGTATTGGTTTTGCGCATCCGCTGGCTTCAGAGCTCGCACCGTAACTCCGTCAATCTGCCACAGAAGCTGCTCTGCTGTCCAGTCGATGGTGTAGGTCTTGAACGTGGCTTGGTTTGCAGGGTTCGAGTGGAATGCACCTCTGGTCCAAGATGTGGTTTGACCCTGTCCAAAGAAGTTGCTCTGGACCTGATCCGGATCGCCACCAAGCCACTCCCAATCGATCTCATCCAGGTCGTCCGACTGTAGGATGGCAGAACTGACAATACCGGTGCCTGGGGATACCTTCACCACAAACTCGACTTTTCCGAACATGATGTACCATTTCGACGTCAACTTGGGCGAGTCACCGGACTTGGAGATGGTAAAGGATGCACCGTCGGAGCCATAGGATACGGGGCCGACAGCGTCAAAGCTATCCGACGCGGAAGAAAAGTCGATATTGACAGACCTTCCGAGAGCAGGGTTGATTTGGCCAGCCGTGACGGTTGCTGCGGAGGGGAGTACCAGCGAGGCGATGGAGGCAATGGCGGCAAAAGCCCGCGCTGTGGCCTTCATGGTGGTGATAGTGGTGAGAAGTGAAAGTGAAAGTAAATTAGGTAGCGATTGTTAGCTCTGCTGGTAGCAAAAAAAGAGCTCAGTGGTGCTGCAATTGGCGGGAAGATACTTTGTGCGATGAAGGCGCCTGCCACACTCTTTATACAAGGACTAGAAGCCCAGCCTCATTGTTAGTGGAGTTGGCAGTGGCAAGAAGGGTTTAGCAGGCACGCCAAACGGGTCAAGCGATACGGCAAAGTCCAAGCGATACGGACACACGGGTCGCGCGTCCAAGCGATACGGATCGCGCGCAAGCGTATGATACGGCTCGTGTCTGGCGACGCGACGTGGCCGTGAAGGCTGTCAATGCTGTTTGGCGGAAATGTGGTGGGACAGAAAAAATTTGGGAGGCTGGTCCCTAGAATCCTACCCTATCCGAGGCGCAGTCGTGTGCAGCTCACGCGCAGCTCACCCGCGGCTCTAAATGTAGCCGCCGGAACAATCTTTTCGCAGCGGCCTTGACATCTACCTACCTAGGTCCCCGACTTTCACTTGGTGCACGGATTAGTCTCCGGCCATATTCTATTTATTGTTATACTGATGGCTGTCCGGCAGACGATTGCCGTCTAAGTGCCGTAGGTATTCAATATTGGCACGTCCATAACACGGGCAACAAAGAACATGATCCCTGGACCCTGGATAATAATAGGTTTTGACGATCCCAGCCGCAGGATCACCAGGGACTTTCTCGGCAACCCCAGCAATAGCGCGCCGAGAGCGCAACGCCGACCCAAGCAAAAATCTCGCCGCATGCACATGCCCGCGTCACATCGCGGACCACGACCTCCATTGCCTTTTGATTTTTGCTCCCTTCGTCATGTCCTTGACTAACGCAAACCCACTCGAGGCTGCTCGTGCGGCTCGGCTGTCGTCGCGCAAGCTTGCTGTCCTGCCTACCCAAGCCCGCAACGATGCCCTGACCGCCATCCATGCTGCCCTCACCGCTGCCCAAGCCGACATCTTAGCGGCCAACTCTCGTGACCTGGAGGCTGCTACCCAAGCAGCCCAAAGCGGCGAGCTCAAAGAAAGTTTGATCAAGCGGCTCGACTTGGGCCGTAAGGGAAAGTATGAAGACATGCTGCAGGGCATTCTCGATGTGAGAGATCTAGAGGACCCACGTACGTGACTGCCCAGAGTTTCATCAGGTACGCATAGCCGTTTCTGACACGCTTGCAGTTGGAAAAGTCGAAGTGCGGACGTTGCTTGACGACGGCCTACTCCTCGAACGGAGGTCGTCCCCCATTGGCGTCTTACTCATCATTTTCGAGGCCCGTCCGGAGGTGATTGCTAACATTGCTTCGCTGGCCATAAAGTCCGGCAATGCTGCCATCTTGAAGGGTCCGTATCACCTTGCAGTGTTCCGTAAATCTCCGCCCCAGCTCACAAACTGTAGGTGGAAAGGAGTCGACGGAATCTTTCAAGGCCATCTCTACTGTCATTTCAGATGCGCTGCAGTCCACAGAAGTGCCAAACGACTGCTTGCAGCTCGTGACCACCCGCGATGCCATCAAACCTCTGTTGGAACTCGATCAATACATTGATCTCGTTATTCCCAGAGGAAGCAACGAGCTAGTGTCGTCCATCAAGAAGGGCACGCAAATCCCAGTTCTGGGACATGCTGACGGCTTGTGCAGCATCTACATTCGTGCAGACTGTCCGTCTGACATGGCAGCCAAGCTTGTCGTGGACGCCAAGACCAGCTATCCTGCGGCATGCAATAGTGTCGAGACGCTCCTAGTGGATGAAGATGCTCTCAACTCCGTTCTTCCCCCCGTCGTCGAGGCGCTATTGGAAAAGGGTGTCCGCTTGCGTTGTGATGTAGCATCTAAAGCCGCGCTTTCTTCTGCGCTTGGCAAACACCAGGCAGCGTTCTTGCAGGATGCCGAGGAGCAGGACTATCGGACTGAATTCCTCGACCTTATCCTGGCAATCAAGACGATTCCGCAGGCAGCTTCTCCGGAGGAGGCGGCAGACGTTGCCATTGCCCATATCAATGAGCACTCGTCGCACCATACAGATGCCATCTTGACTCAGTCACAAGCCATCGCTGAACGCTTCCAAGACGGCGTTGATAGCTCGTCGACCTTCTGGAACACCAGCACCAGAATGGCCGACGGGCAGCGGTTTGGCTTTGGCACCGAGGTTGGCATCAGCACCAACAAGATTCACGCGCGGGGACCGGTGGGATTGGAAGGCTTGACCATTTATCGCTGGCGGATCAATGGCAATGGGCAGGCGTCGGCCGAGTACGGGGCGGGGGGCAAGGCTTGGAAGCACCAGAAGCTGCCGGTGGGCGAGCAGGAAAGATACGCAGTGACCGACGAGGAGTTCGAGCTCTTGAAGCAGTTCCGTGCGCGGAAGTCGGCGAGCTGAAGGGGCAAGGGGTGATAGTGGCTGCGGGCTAGAGATAGGCAAGAAGAGGTTAGACGCGCCAACAGCGGCCCGAGTCATGGAGCCCGCGTCACTCTAGTGGGTCCGCTAAATCCACTGGCTGCCGTCCCCGCAGTCTGGTCAAGACCCCATGACTTTAGGGCGTTTGGGGGAGGGTTTTCTTTACGTGAGGAGGACGGGCTTTTACGTTGCGATGACAGCTGCTTTGCCCCCAGTGGATAGCGCAATTCATGTGACCTTTGATGGGCTTCTTCCCCGCGTCAGCTCGTGCTGAGCATATCCCGCAGAAGCTGATGGTCCGAAGCGGGACTAGTCAGGTACAAAGTCGCGCAGTGCGGGCGATTGGTCGCTGCTAGCCCCGTCCCCGCAGGAACGCCGCTCCAGCCTTGGTCGAGTGACTCTTGTGCCGGCGGAAAGCGAGCACATACTTTGACGTCCCCCCGCATATAAACCATGGCGCTCTGCATCGATTCGCCCTTCCTCGTCGTTCCTATCGCCATTCCGCTTGCTTTTTGCGCCACTGTATCACCCGTATCACCGCCGTTCTGATAAGGCTGCTTCATTGCAGTCCGCCCGCATAGACAACAGGTCAGACTCCCTCCCGCCCAATTGAGCTATTTTCAGCGAGTAGCCTGTATTACGTCAAGGCGCACCTCCTAGTGCCTTCAGCTGCGTTCTTCTCGCCCTTCCCCCCTCCTCCCGCCTTGTATTTAACTGCTGCACGCCTGCTCCCGCAATCCTCTGATCTAACACGCTCCAGATAGCGCAAGTTCCATCACATTAGACTTTTCACCGCCTAACGAACTCCCCGCTTCCTCCCCTCGCCCAACATGGACACCCCCACATCAATGGCCAACGGCGTCAAGAACAAGCTCCTCGACACCGTCATCCGCACCCCCGGCCGCGAGCCCTCGCCTCAGCCCACGCATTTGAGCGTTCCCGGCTCGTCGCAACACCGCGTACTACACGAAGAAGGCCCCGGCTATGTCGCGCCCAAGTTCGAGGGCAAGGAGCAGCAGATGGAGACGTATGATTTGAGTTAGAGGGGGTGACGTGGCGTCGTCAAACTAACGCCTCGCAGGGTCATGGACCAGATTGAGGAGAAAGGCTTCATACCAGCTGACTTCGTCGAATCCGAGACGAAATGGTTCTACACCGATCTGGGCATCGATGACAGCTACTTTTCCACCGAGACGGTAGAAGCGTACGCCCACTCCCCCCTTGACCATTCCCCACATTCAGACGCTGATGATGTCATACCAGGATTGTCAACCACATCCACTCATTATACGCTGCCAAGATCGCTGCATACGCCCGCGATGACAAGCGGATAGAAATCCGGTTGGACAAGGAGGCTGTGGACCACGCCGTCTACATCGACACCAGCAAGCCTGGTGTCAGCTTGGTAGAGGGTCCCCAGTATGAGCGTCGTATTGACCACAAGTACTTGAATGGCGCACCTGGGAGCAACGTGTACCGCGTGGAGACCTTCCGCTCCGCAGGTATGCTCCCGGGTGGCCAGGAGCAACAGCTCCGGTGCTACTTTGTGTACCAATGTGACTTTGCGGATCCCAACCCTGGCGCGGGAGAGACGTCGATCGAGAAAATTGGCGAAAAGCGTTTCTTGCAGAAGGCCACGACCAACACCAAGGAGATCTACCAGCAGGCGATCATGAACGCCGTTGCGCGGACAGGTCCTGTCATCGAAACCTTTGACATTGAGGGATCTCGGGAGAAGCGCCTCGTCATTGCGTTCAAGCAGGGTTCTGCGCTAGGCCTGTTCAGCGCGCTGAGTGACTTGGTATGCATATTCGAGCTGTTAGGTTGTCTCTCCAACAAGCTGACGACCATCTAGTATCACTACTACGGACTGACTTCGTCTCGTAAATACGTGGGTGAGTAGCAAGAAAGCCTGCCACTTTGTGCGCTCTCTACAAGCAAATCCCGCTAACACCTGCTAGAACAATTCTCGAACGGCTACACGGTGATGTCCCTCTACTTGCGCCACGCGCCCCAGACTGTCTCCAGTCAACGATACCCCCCGATTGAGGCATCTATCCACCAGATTATAAAGGAAGTTTCTCTGTTGTATTGTATTCCTCAGAACAAGCTTCAAACACATTTTGCGTCAGGCAAGCTCAGCTTACAGGAGACGATCTATGCTCACTGCGTGTGGGTATTCGTTGGTCATTTCCTCAACCGACTGGGTAAGTCCGAGTGCATTCCCAAGAACATGCTCTTCATTTGCTAATATAGGTTTCGTGTTTAGGCTCGGAGTACACGACATTGTCTTCCATACTCGACACAGGCAACAGTCTGCACGCTGAGCTCCTTTCAAAGCTTAAGCGGCGTCTTCGCACCGAGACTTTCACGTCGGACTACATCCTTGAAATCATCCGCGAATACCCTGAGCTGATTCATTCTCTGTACCTCTCCTTCGCCAACGCGCATTACGTCCAAACCAGGGGCGAGCAAGATGATTTCATTCCCACTCTGAGCTACATCCGGATGAAGGTTGACAAAGTCCTGGACGACTCGGAGCTCGAGGAGATGATAAGCAAATCCGTTGCCAACGAGCACCATGCTATAGTCATGACGGCTTTCCGCATTTTCAACGCCAGTGTGCTGTAAGTTCATTTTCACACAACACCCAAACTAAACGTCCCGTCTAATGGCCATGTCCAGGAAAACCAACTTCTACACGCCAACCAAGGTTGCTCTGAGCTTCAGACTGAACCCGAGCTTTTTGCCTCAGCAAGAGTACCCTCAACCTCTCTACGGCATGTTCCTGGTTATCAGCTCAGAGTTCCGCGGTTTCCACCTTCGTTTCAGGGATATTGCACGTGGAGGTATCCGCATTGTCAAGTCCAGAAGCCAAGAGGCTTACGCCATCAACGCTCGCTCCATGTTTGACGAGAACTACAACCTTGCCAACACTCAGCAGAGGAAGAACAAGGATATTCCTGAAGGCGGCTCTAAGGGTGTTATTCTGCTGGACGTTCGCCACCAAGACAAAGCCCGAGTGGCTTTCGAGAAGTACATTGACAGTATCCTGGACTTGCTGCTTCCTCCCAGCAGCCCTGGTATCAAGGACCCCATTGTTGATCTTCACGGCAAACAAGAGATTCTGTTCATGGGTCCGGATGAAAACACGGCTGATCTGGTCGACTGGGCCACAGAGCATGCTAAGGAGAGAGGCGCACCGTGGTGGAAATCATTCTTTACTGGCAAGAGCCCGAGGTTGGGCGGTATTCCCCATGACCGTTATGGAATGACAACCTTGTCCGTCCGCGAGTATGTCAAGGGTATCTACCGCAAGCTCAACCTCGACCCGAGCAAGGTTCGCAAGCTCCAGACGGGTGGACCCGACGGTGATCTTGGGTCGAACGAAATTCTCCTGGGCAACGAACAGTACACTGCTATCGTTGATGGCGCTGGTGTCCTTGTTGACCCGAACGGTTTGGACCGGGACGAATTGGTGCGCCTTGCTAAGCAGCGCTCCATGATCAACCAATTCGACACCGCCAAACTCTCCTCTGCGGGATACCGTGTCCTGGTGGAAGACAACAATGTCAAGCTCCCGTCTGGAGAGGTTATCAACAACGGCACAATGTTCCGGAACACCTTCCATCTGCGTGGCGGTCTGCCGTACGATGTCTTCGTGCCATGCGGTGGTCGCCCCGAGTCAATTGACCTTAGCACGGTCGGCAAGCTCATTGTGGATGGCAAGGCCGTCATTCCATATATTGTCGAAGGAGCGAACCTCTTCATCACTCAGGATGCGAAGCTCCGCCTTGAAAAAGCCGGTTGCATTGTGTACAAAGACGCGTCTGCCAACAAGGGAGGTGTCACGTCCTCCTCATTGGAAGTTCTCGCCTCTCTGTCTTTCGACGACGCAGGTTTCATTGAGAACATGTGTATCCGTGAAGACGGCAGTGCGCCGCAGTTCTACGATGACTACGTCAAGCAGGTGCAGGAGACCATCAAGAACAACGCTGCTCTTGAATTCGAGGCTATCTGGAAGGAGCACCAAGCGACGGGTGAACCTCGCAGCATCCTCAGCGACAAGCTTAGTGTTGCCATCACAAAGCTAGACGAGGAGCTGCAGAACACGGAGCTGTGGGATAATGTTGAGCTGCGCAAGTCTGTCTTGAGCGATGCTCTGCCCAACCTTCTCCTGGAAAAGATCGGACTCGATACTATCATTGGTCGGGTAAGTGCAGATTCAAACCAATCCAAGCGATATGAACTAGACTTTCTAACGTGTATTAGGTTCCCGAGAACTATTTGCGCGCCATCTTTGGCAGTTACCTTGCCAGCCGCTTCGTGTATGAGTATGGCATCTCCGCCAGCCAGTTTGCTTTCTTCGCCTTCATGAACAAGAGGATGGCTCGCCTTCGGGCTTGATCAAGACGCACGTGTGTCGTATGGCTTGTTCATAGAGAAGACGGGGGTTATCAGTGCATGTATTTGAACTGGAAGTAAGACAAAGCTTCCACGGTCGACAAAAGCATTATGCATAATTGAATCAAAGAATTTCTTGGCAAAGGGATAAACCAGCATTTGCCTTTCGGTCTTGGTCTTGTGATGCATCGTTCTGAACTTCTGTCTCCAACTCCTTCTGTTCGCAATTGACCATTAACTTGGAGAACTTCAACAACGCGGAACCTGATCACCTCGTCTTCTTCGCCAGCACATCTGACTGCTGTACTTGGTATGATTTTATCCCACCCCCGATTCAACTGTTATTTCTTTGTTGTTGTTGTTGTTGTTGTTGTTTTCTTTTTCTGTCGCGCAGGACTACACCCTTTCTTTGCACCATAACCCATGCAAATCGCAAATGTTCGGGCATAACCATCGTAACTCTGTACTTGTCTCTGACATAACTACAAACCCAAGCGCATAGACTATCGCAATCCACAACTCTCCATCGTCAAGACACACAACACTACGGAAATGGTCGCGACACGTTCCCAGAACGGCATAGTCAAGCCGTGCACACCATACACACCCACAGCCCCATCCTTCCCACCCAAGGTCCTGAAGAACACGACCAGACCGAAGGCAAAGCCGAAACCGACCAAGCCGAGCAAGAGGGACACGGCGGCGAAGCCAGCAAAGAAAGTGACCTTCGACAAACGCATCACGAAAGCGAAGAAAGACACGAGCAAGAAGACCAAGAAGGCCGCCACAAGCACGAAGTGGGCCGACGCGGTAACGCAAAAGGAGACTCGCAAGGCGGGAAAGAGGAGATGAGGGGTACGTACCACCTACCCGCGGGCCTCAGGCCACTGGTCCCAAGCATCGAAGCCTCTTTCCTTTCTGCGCGAAGCGGGGCCAGCTCCGGCAGCGGCGAGAGGGGTTCGTCACGCAGCCGGGTTCTCTACTGCCCGGTGGCGACGGCTGCGCGCGTGCGCGCGTGCTGATTTGTATGCGCAGGCTCTCTCGTGGTATAGTATAGGGTGGCCATGGGGGACGGCTGGCTCCTGCAGGGCCACCACTTTGGGGCCGGTCATCGGAAATGCTACGGGGAGGGCGGAAGGCGATGGGAGTGGACGTAGATGGCGCGCGAGCTGGGTTTGTTTTAGTCGATGTGCTTGCTGGGTAGGCCCGTCCCGTAGAAATCCTCGTCGGGATATGCTTCGGGGATTGTGGTCTGCATCGGGGGATGCTCATGGTGACGGGAGTGTGATTTTAATTTTGGGTCTTTGGATATGGGGTGATCGAGCGAGTTGGTGTTTTTCTTTTTGCACCTTCACCATCAAAGATTAGTCTCGTTCATGCCCGAGGGCTTTGATTGACGTAGTCTTAATTTCCCGAGCAGGGTATTTGACATGCATCCCTCGAACAGATCTCTGAAAGTAAAACGCCATAAGGAAAATGACGCATTTTGACCCACTGCGCTTTCTCATCGCGGGCAAGTAGACGTAAATACCTACCAACAGTGTACGCAGACCCCTCGAGGGTCCCAGCCGGAAGCAGGAGCAGAAGCAATGCCCAGCGCATCGAGCCATTTAACCTGTCACGCCCCCCCAATTTCCCCGAGTCACAAAGTGGGTTGAGAAATTCCCAGTTTTGCGTGAGAGGGAAAATCTTGGGGACGACGAAACGACGGACGGCAGGACGGCGACAAGAACATCCGAGGTTGGGGTATCCTATCGCCTGTCGGCTTGCCGGTGAGCAGTGGTTCATGCACGGCGAGCCGTCACATCACGCGGATCTAGACGCCTCTGCCGCTGCCACACCACGGAACGTCTCCGCACGCCCGAAGGCTTTTTTCCCCACGAGGCGTTGCCGGCGCATCCCTTGAAGAAGGTTTAAGGTTAAGGGTTAGTCTCCACCTATCAGGCACCCCAGACGGCCGGTTGAGTATATGCACCTTCCCGATACGGCACACAAACCGAGATTCCAGGGTCTTGTATTGTTCTTTGTTGTTCCTTCGCAGAGGCGGGCTCTGGAACTTCTTGCGTCGTGATACTTGCAACTGTCCCCGGCTGGTGACTTCAATCCGGCTATAGCTGGCTGTCTGTACACAGCTCCATTGAGCTGTGGGAGGGCCCTGGTGACACCCGTCTCTGTCCGCTTTAGGTGCACACCTCGAAGATTGTGTTCGGCAAGTCCGGCGCTCTCATAAGACGGACTATCGTTTCCGGGACCATTGTGAATGCCTCGTCCGTTGCCACTTTGCTGTGGTAGCCGAGCATCATCCTCAAGTCTTACTCACATAGCAGTGTATTGCGCCACGCCATGTGGAAGCCAATGGCCCACTGGGCTGAGCCTTGGGTGCCCTGGTCTACGTCGTCAGCGCCCTGTAGTGCGCTGGCGAGACGCAGCTCACCCGCCGCCGGGAGACGCCGCACCGCGTATCGAGACACCTGCCATGTACTGCACGATGGACGCAAGGAGGCGCATGATCTGGGGTGCGTTTGAGCCCATTGAGGCGGCTGCATGAGCAGGCTGCAGTCGAGCAGCTAATGAGGGAAAATAGTGAGAGGGTGGTCCGTTTGGGGTCGCCAAGGGAGGGCAATGAAACTGATGATCCGTATATCCGCTGGTGAAAGGTGAACCCGACAGTCTGTTCCGCATCGTAGAAGACCTAGCCCGAGAGCGCAGTGCCTGGCAGACCGGCGTCACGAGTGTCGATGTGTGCAGGCACGCCAGGCACAGTAGACGACCCCAGCCACAGCTTCTTGTTGCTCCGGTTTAGCCGGAGGCGCGCGCTCCGCTCTAGCCCTACCAGGCGCGTAACCCATTTCCAGATTTCCAGAGAGGTTCCATGGATAAATATGTTTTGCGGGGAAGCCCTGTCCGCGTGGTCGAGCTATGTTGCGCGCGCAGGGCATCATTGGGCTATACAGAAGGGTAAATCTTCATCCAATATTGCTTACGGCCGTGGAAGATGTGACGGGAACAAGGACGGACTGAGGAGCTTTGATTGAGATGGAAATACCCGGGAGGCAACAGACGGGAGAGAAAGGATGACATTGAGAGGTTGAGAGAGTAGAGAGGCCAAGTCCTAGTCTAGAAGAGCGACGCCTCAGGCATCGCAGCACCGGAACGCCCCGCATGCCGGAGAAATCCCCGCAGCTTCTTCAGGAACCGAGTCTAGCCGGCCTCGAGACCCTGCAGGGTCTGCTCGATGCAACTGGCGGTACCCGCTGCTCTGCGTGTCACCTGGCACTCAAGTCCACACGTCCCGTCACGCGTTTTTCGGCGACATATCGGTGGGCCTGCTAACGAGACTACTGCACGTCCGGATCTTAACCTCCGACCGGCCAACGTTGTGAAGGTTTCTGATCATAAGGCCTATTGGAGCAGGCCATGCCTGTTTCCCCTTTCATACTCTGAGGCCGGCCGATCGAAGAAACATTTGCCGCCGCCCCTCCGCCTCTCGAATGATCTCCGCAGATAGTCGGAGACTCGGTGCCAGATGGGCGTAGCGCTCGATCTCATTGACCACGTCGTCGATGATCGCGTCCATCTGGTGAGGCTGGGGTAGCAGTGCAGATAGCGATGGGGACATGGTCGCGCCCATGACGAGCAGGGTTTGTGAGACGATACTGGCCTGTGTTAGCATGGGCCCAGAATCACATGTCCGAGAGGGCTTGACTTACGAAAGTGCTCCTTGCCACAGATAGGGAAGATGGCCTGCGTGGCTGGTTTTGCCCGTTAGTACCTCGTGCCAAGACTCTGTCGTGTGCGAGTCTACCTACTGTGCTTGTATGTGCTCTAATTGGCGAATACATGCTTCCAGGCATTTCCGGCAGTTTTCTTGCACTACTATGTCCATCGCTGCCGTCTCGTCATTCAGTACAGCCAGGATGTACGGTCTGAAGATGATGGTTCGGCAAGCAAAGTAGCGCAGCCTCAGCACTGTTTGCACCGGGTTGGAAAGCGGCACTTTGCTGTGCGGAAACTGAACCGGAAGTGGCAAACCCTCATACCACTGCGTCAGTTGGAAGTCGAGCTCGGCCACAACTGGCGCAAGCAAACCTATTGGCGTCGCCGCAGAAGTGTTGGTGTAGATTAGATGGCTAACGCGGTTAAGCAATCGGCGCAGCGCAATCTCGGCGAGGAAGTACCAGAGCTCATCTCTGCCTACCGCCTCTTCCTCCTCCTCTTCAAACCCTCCGGGGAGGCCCACTGTTTCCTCAAACTGGACAATCCCCGAGTGGGGCAGGTCCAACTCAGCGAGTAGATCGCTGCACCGGAGTATTAGTGACAACTGTCAAATATTTGATGGGGCCAAAAAGCAGCCTACCTCTCGAAAAGCAATGTGTTCCAGTACACCCGCTCGCTCAGTTCTTTGCCATGTGAAGGCAGCCGACCTGGTGCACCCAGCAACAGCTGCAGTTTCATGCTCGTGTTTGTCAGTAGGTTCCAAGCCTCAAGTGGCCGGACAATGTAAAACAAATAGGCTGAGGCCAGGATGTTGCATTGAGCGGCGACCATGTTGTTCCGTGTCATAAGACTGGGCAGGAGTGCCCATGCTGCGGAAAAGTATGACATGCCTGGTGGATCTTTGTCTCGTGGTAGCTGCGCTATGCTTCCGCCGCTGCTTGCGGCGCCCAAAGCAAGAACGAGTAAGACGATGCAGCTTTCCGCACCTTCGCGGAACCCTTTGGAAAGGGCCGTGCGGTAGTAGGACGACCAACTGTGAGGATTGACACATGCGTACCAAACATTGACGCGGTCGAAGAAGGCTTGCACGTAGACAGCAGTGTTCGAGAGATCTAGACTCATCGAAGTACTTAACTGGAGTGGCTCCCGTGCCATTTCGAGCTGCAGGAGTACTTGAGGATCATAGGGCCGTGAAACGAGCTCTCGAATCATAGGCCACTGCAATAGATGAAGTGCTGGCGTTGTGTGGATTTTTGGCATGGTAGAGATGTTTGAAGAGGCGCTGGTCCAGGTGCCAAGCCCGTTCATTGGGATCATGCCAAAGGCTGGGGCATTGCTGGTGCTGCGCGCGAGCAGGTCGTCGTTGGTGCTGTTGCTAGCAGCGGGCGAGCCCGAAGGCAGGCCCATGAGAGATGGCTGCTGGGATAAGTTGGTTCGAAGGAAGCCTTCGATTCTCTCGAGATGCTCAAGGATGAGCTTGTCACCAGCATCAAGCTTAACACCGGGTTCCCGGTAAACGCACTCAGCGTTCAGCTCTGAGCACAAACGGCATTTAGGACGATTGCCATCGCATCGTGATTTTCTTGATCGACATATCTCGCACTGTAGATGCAGTTAGTTACCAGAGCCATGGTTCAGCGTGGACGTGCACGTACCGCAATAGTGGCGCGTCTGCGAGGGTAATCTATCGTATCGGTGCTTGGGCGTTTCTTCGGGTTCGTCTGAGGCTCTTTGGCCACGACGTCGCTGGCAGGCACATGGCCATCGTTGGACAGCTCGCGGTCGGTTGAAGCATTAGACATGTTGCGGGGACGCTTGGCGAAGGAGCCGTTCAGAAAGTCGGTGTTCGGGAGGAAGCCATTTGGAGAGTTGAGCAGGTGCGGGGATTTAAGAGCCGACTTGAGCAAATAGTTGCTGGTGTCGGGAAGGGTCGAGAAGTTGAGGAAGTAAGGATCGCGTGGATACAGGCAGTTTGGAGTTGCAGCTGACATGGGGCTGACATCCGGGGAGGGCGTGATGGTAGCCATGATTGGTGGCCGAACCCCCAGCAACGAAACAACAAGGAGACGAGGGGAAAAGCAAAGGCAACGGTGCGGGAACGAGCGGACGAGGTTCAGGCGTCGTGAAGAGGGCTTGCCAGAGGGGGGGGGGGGGGGGGTGCTTGATGGCGGGCCAGATGAGATGCGTTATATGCGGTATAGAGGGCAGTGTGTCATTACCCCGGGCCAGGCATGCAGGTCAAAGATTCGCATCGCCTCTGCGGGGCGGAGCGAGGCGACCATGGCGGTCGCCGGCTGGGACATCATGCTATGTGCGCGAAAATAGCCAGGATGGCAGCGTCGAGGGACCTCCACCGAAGTCAGGATACCATAGCTGGTGCATCCTTTGACGCAGTTGGCCGGTGGGTGGGCGCGCCGGGAAAGTCGCCGTTGAGGGTAACCGCCACGCGAAGTTAAGCGACAAAGCCTGCTGCCACGCCCATCACAGCGCATGACGGCGGGCCGCTGGATGCGCAGGCAAGCCTCACCGATACCTTGGCGGCTAAAACACAATAGACACCGCCATGTACCTGCAGCAAATTCAACGTGAGGGAAATAAATTAAGCCAAGGCCACCACTGTATCACTCGACCTCCTCTGCGTGCCGGTAGTTGGCGCCCGGCGACTGTGGGGTGCAGCTTTTTTATCGATATGGTCCTCATGCCGGCCACGAGATCCAGAACTTCCTTCCCCATGCCAATCGCGGGGACCTGTTGTAGAACGTCGATTGCAGTGCGTGAAACTCTCATCTCCGATGCGGCCAGCCTGTTCCCTTGTGTCATGACTGTCGTCGTCCCTCGATCAACTAAACCGGGTTGGCTCCGGCACTCTCTTTCCGACTGGGTGAATCTGCGCTGGCCACCAGCACGTGGCATCTGGCTGCCAGCGTCATCCATGATGTCCGGATGATACGCAGCAAGCGCTGCGACGGTGGAGCGCGCCGTGGAGATGTGTCGCGTCATCCCGAGAGCCGCCAGGTCAATTGTTCCAGAATCAGGACGTGTATCCCGAGCCTCATGGCGTATGCTCTTACGATATAACGTGACACGTCGACCATCGTATACCAGTAGACCAATGGCCACCGCCGCTGGGATGCTGGACGTCGGCTCCTAAAATTCCCGAGTTGCATTCTTCCCTGAGATTTTGCACCGACCGCCAACTCAGTGCACGTTCCGAGGCTTGTTCTATGCCCGCTGCGGGGCCGCGGGCGCGGGGAGCGATGTGATGGTCCCGCGAGCGGGTCGACGACTAGGGTAAAGCCACGGACCGATGAAGGTTTGCTAGGGTTCGTCCAGGTACCCGCTTAGGCCCACGACCCCATGCACAACTATCCAGGCTCAGAGCCGAATCCGACACGGCCCTAGAAACCCTGTGCACACGTTGTAAGCCTCCGTGAGCTTCGGCGACAAAAAAAAAAAAAAAATCGAAATCCACTGACCTGCAGTACACAAGCCTTCATTACGCAACTCCGCATAGGCGCGATGAGCCCTGCGACTCGCTTGTCTGGACTCCTAATAGGTCGAAGATATGACTGTGATCGACGATAGATATTAAGACTGCTCAAGAAGGAAAAAAAGAAAACAATGACACGAGTACGAACGCAGTCGAGATCGTTCGACTGAGGCACGTTGCCCATGGATATCAGCGCAGAAAAACAAAACAGTGAAGGAATGTACAAGCCCTGGTCAGGCCCGCATCATCCAAACCACGGCCCTGAGGGATTAACAATTGATTATCAAGCCTAGCAATATGAGAGGGCTTGGGCTTGACTGAGAATTTGTCGAATCGAGTGGTCGGTGGTCTGTCCTGCCTATCAGCTTGTGGGCAACCGTCTGCCAGGCTCCTGGACGCTGCAGGTTAGCTGATATTAGTTGTTTGTCTATCAACCCAATTCGATGGAACGCAGTTTCCAATTAGAAAATGAAACATGCTGTTTTCAGTGAACAAACTGCTGTCACGACAAATCTTACCGTTTCGCTTTCATTGCGACTCCTTCATTTTCATCTCAAAATGCGTGAGGTGACATCAACGTAAGAGGACACCTATCCTGCGTTTGACAGGTAGGCAAAGCAATTGCGAGACCAAACGCTCGGTACCGGGAAGCGACGCAAACGGCCACCTGCTTGAATGTCAAACAGGCAACCACAACGTGCAAGACATGGCGTAACTTGATCTCCCCACTGACAGTGGATTAGTTTCCTGGTTACTGACATCTTCCCATCTTGAAGCTCGTTCGACATAACCATCGCAAGGGGGACGACGGCTCGTTGTTTCTACCGGTGGCCACGAGAGCCCAGCAGCCTTACTGAAGAGCACAAAGACGCGCGATTCCAAAACGTCCGACCATAGCAAGGCGTCGTCTACAATGAAAGATCGACATCCGGAGGAGCCTGTGACGCAAACCAACACTCAGGAAGTACCGAAAGAGGCTGATCCAACTTTAGCCAGCTATGAGGCGGTTGGTGGTTAATGTCAAACCCTGTGGTGGCGATGTAGCTGATGGGCCCAGGACCCATTGATGCCTACAACGGAGAATCTCATTCTGGCAGCGGCTGGATTGTGTGCGACCGGAGAAGACCATTCCCGTCCACAGGTGGAATTGACCAAGCCCGGGGGCCTTACCAATACTTCTCTGACTGAACACTCCCAGACAGGAACCGGTCCGACGGCAACCAAGGTGGTAGAGATCGCTAAAACAGCCAGTACTCAGATCATCGAAGCCACAAATTCAGCGACAGAAGCGACGGGCGCAGCGGCAGGAAAGATGATCGAAGCGACGAAAGACGTCAGCGCAGTCTTCAAAAGCTCAGCAGAGAAGGCAGCCAAGGAACTCGAGGAAAGCAATGATGACTCTCTTGGTCCGTATGGTAGCTTGGGTACTTGCACACCGAACGACATGGACCCTCTGGCGGAAGCTGTTCACACTGGGTTACTTCTGGAAGACAGAAGCCAGGCAAACAAAGAGGCTCAGCCTCATGACGGAAGGATCGAGGCGAAGCGCACTAAGGACAGGGAGCAGTGATCCCTGTCAATAATGCTGCAGCTCCGTTGGTTGCAAGTCGTAGAATTTGCTGAGGTGGACCGGCTTACACCCATATGAGCTGAAGACGTGGTGGCGTGAAGTTGATCGATGGAGGTAGTGCGGAGCTATCCCAATGATAAGGCATCAATTGGGCATTCTCTTACTGAGGGGACAACAGCCAGGTAGCTATGTACCGTTCAAACACAATACAGACGAATGAACTGATAGAAGATGATGATTGCTAAAGCATGTGTCAGGTGGTTGCGGTCGACACTAGGTAGAGAACGGACACCTCCTAGCGCCGTCGGCTCGGCCGTTCGAGGCGCCGATGGACTGGGATTCCATTTTATTTTTCTGAGAGAAAACGCGACTGATCGACTCTACAGCCACCAAATTGCCCCTCGTTCAAAATGGCAAAGAGATCCTTGAAAGAAAGTGCCATCGGCGATGACGCGCCCGAGGTCAACATCAAGATCCAGCGCAAAAAGAGCCGCAAAGACAAATCCGCCGAAGAATCCGTCACCGAAACCCCAGCAACAGATAGCGAAACCGTAGACGCAAAGGCCGAAAAGAAGTCGAAGAAGGAAAAGAAGCGCAAAAACAAGTCCGAAGAGGTCACCGAGGAGGAGTCTTCCTCTGCCGCCGACGCGGAGGCGGCGAAGGCCGCCAAAAAGGCAAGAAAAGAGCCAAAGCGCGCTGCGAAGGTCACGCAGTCTACCGACGAGGATTCGGAGAAGGCTAAGCGCAAGGCTGAAAAGAAGGCCAAGAAGGCGGCCAAACAAGATCAGGAAGATAGCGCGGTTGCTACTCCTGTGGTGGAATCAAACGGCGACGCGCCACCGGTTACCAATGGAACGACAGCTGCCCCAGCAGACGTCACCTCTGGTTACGTCGAGGACCCTAAATTGACTGCTCTGCCACAATCCGAGGTCGACGCTTTCTTGACCAAGAACATGATCACCCTCACCGACCCGCTCAACACCACAGCGAAATACCGGCCGATCATCTCCTTCGAGCATCTCTCTATAACAGACGACGCGCTGCGCGCTCCTTTCAAGACTTTCACGGCACCTACACCTATACAAGCAGCTGCATGGCCGTCGCTATTCGCCGGCAGGGATGTCGTCGGTGTGGCAGAGACGGGTTCCGGAAAAACCCTGGCCTTCGGCGTGCCGTGTGTGCGCTACATTACATCCCTTCCCAAGAAGGAGCGTAAGGGCGTCAAGGCTGTTATTGTGTCGCCCACTCGCGAGCTAGCGGCTCAGATCCATGAGCAGCTTGTCAAGCTAGCGGGGCCCTACGGCCTCGAGGTCACCTGTATCTACGGCGGTGTTCCCAAGGACGACCAACGTGTTCAGCTCAAGAGAGCAAGCATTGTGGTGGCTACTCCCGGCCGTCTCAACGACCTGATCGATGAGGGCTCGGCAGACATCAGCAGTGCTGGGTATGTCGTGCTCGACGAAGCGGACAGGATGCTCGACAAGGGTTTCGAGGATGCGATTCGCAAAATCATTAGCAGCACTCGCCCTATGGGCCAACGTCAAACCCTCATGTTCACCGCAACTTGGCCGCAGTCTGTCCGTGAGCTGGCTTCTACGTTCATGACCTCTCCTGTCAGAGTTAACATTGGCGATAACCCAACTGGAGAGCTGCGTGCAAACACTCGCATCAGTCAGACCGTCGAAGTGGTTGAGCCTCGTAACAAGGAATACCGTTTGTTGCAACTGCTCAAGGAGAACCTGGCAGGCGCCAAGAAGAACGATCGTATTTTGGTCTTCTGCTTGTACAAGAAGGAGGCCACTCGGATCGAGGGCTTCATTCGCTCCAAAGGATTTAGCGTCGCTGGTATCCATGGTGATTTGGGCCAATCACAGCGCACTGCCAGCTTGGATGCGTTCAAGAAGGGACAGGTCAACTTGCTCGTTGCGACTGATGTTGCCGCCCGTGGTCTGGACATTCCCGAGGTGAAGGTCGTCCTCAACGTAACGTTCCCACTCACTGCCGAGGACTATGTCCACCGTATCGGCAGAACGGGTCGTGCTGGAAAAGATGGTAAAGCGATCACTCTTTTCACTGAACACGACAAGCCTTTGGCTGGAGCGTAAGTTTCCCGAAATCCTTTCACAACGTTTGATAGCTAACACATCACAGACTTGTCAACGTTCTCAAAGGCGCGAACCAACCTGTGCCCCAGGAGTTGATGAAGTTCGGCACTACAGTTAAGAAGAAGGGTCACGACGCGTACGGTGCTTTCTTCAAGGATACTGAGGGCATGAAGCAGGCGACGAAGATTACGTTTGACTAGAACCGTACCAACCCACCATTGGTGATGGGCTGGAATCCCTATTCGTCTTATGCATTTGCAGGCGTTTTGAGCTTGATAGACATTACATAAAAAAATGATGCTATTCGGGAGAGCAGGTTGCTCGGAAGGCCGCTCGGAGTCAAAAATTTACATTTGCAAGTTCCGCAAAAGCCTGCTTCCACCAGGGTAGAGATAGAAAGACAGCAGTAGTCTTGATGGGTGTCAATGATGACTATTTGATATTTGCACCTACTACAGTATTCTTCGGCGAAGTAGCTGCGCCCATTTCTGACCCGAGCGCCGAGGACGGCGACCACCGCGTCAGGTCGGCGACCAGCGCTGACAGCAGTCGTATATATTTCATCACCCCTTGGCCAGGCTACTACATCACAACATTTCTAGTCTCACTTGACTACATGCTATCGCACAACACACCTGTTCACGTTCATCCACACCAAATCAATCCAACCTCCACAATGTGCAAGAAAGCCACCTGTGCGACCTGCCGTAAGTTTTCAAGACACGCCTTATCACCACACTCCCATCGAATAGACCTCTCTGCACCGGGTTCACAGACGTACGTTGAAGATATCTATACTAACATATTGTACAGAAAAGGCTACCTGGTGGGGTTGTAAGTTGCTCCGCATATCTCGGGCTTTCAACGGGATCTTCTGACATTTTGAAAGGCGGAAACCACGTGCCATCTGTCTTGGATAGTATTCCCAAGGAGGAATGGTGTCAGTGTGAACCTCAGGTGGAGAAGGAGGGCAAGAAGTACCCGCCAATGGGCAAGATTGATTGACTCGCGGCGTTGCGCTTCTGGCAATGAGATCCATGGGTGAAATCTCAGGTCGCGGCAATGCAGCAACACCCAAAATGGACTTCGAGCGAACCAATTGTAGCTTATTAGGAGGCTTTCGGACAGTTCAAAACACTTCGAATGCGATGAACACTTAATTATTGAATTGCGTTTGTGGTTGCTTTCAACCTCGTTTACATGGTGCCGTGTCCACAAAGCACCGCCAAACAGAACACGAGAAGAAACAAATATCGCCTGTGCCGCTTCGCTCGAGGAGCCTTGCATTTTCGGTCAGTAAAGCCTCATCTTCTCAGCTGTCTAACAAGAGACCAAGTCACGTTTCCAGTCACCCGAAACACCGATTGTGGGGGAAACAAGCGGGAGTTTGCATGGGGAAACACACGTTTGCTTTTTCTCAAGTGGTTGAAGTTGTCGCTCAGCAGACATGGGATTCTGAAAATGGCATGCGCCGCCTATGACGTAGGTTACACAATCGGGAAGGCCAACCTCCAACGCCCCAGCAGTTCCATACCTACCTCTCTACCTACATATCTTCAGACGAAGAAACCACGAAACTGCAGGACCAGTCTTCGCCATTCGGTTTATTGCTCAGCTACTAATTTCTCCGCACGACTAACGACTGTTCTACGTCTTCCAAGATGAGTTGGATGGATTCTTGGTCTCGACCTTCCAAGTCCCAAGCTACTCCAGCGCCCTACTACCTCCTGCCAGGTGGCGAGGATACACCATATTGCAAGTCATGCGGTAGAGCTATAAGTCAGTATTCTGTGAAACCCATTCTTGCACGTCAACTCATCATAACCGTTCAATAGGTGCTCGCAAGTCACAAGTCACCAAAGAGACCGCCACTCCAGCCAAATATTGCTCGAGCCGTTGCCGCAGTCATAAACCTGGGAAGTTGGACAGGCAAATTGAGGACGCCTTTGTCGCCTTCTTGAGCGGTAGCGAACCTTTGCCTATTGCCGCCCCTACAGAGTCACACAAGAAGGAGAAGGGCCAGAAGAAGATAAAGGGCGATCACAGAATCATTGTCCCTTGTGACATAGTAGAGGAGTTCGTGTTCGGATCCCGTCATGACCCTGAAAAAGACTGGGGTCGGAAGAAGAACAAGGCAAGACGGGGGGCGCGTGATGACGACGAGTGGAAGAGCGTGGATATGATGAGCACCGATGGGTCCGTCACAGCTAGTACAGCTAGTGACGGAAGCGCAGCAGAGGACAATGTGATCGACGGTGACCTTGTAGCGCGGCTGTCGGTGCGGAGCGGTACGCGCATTCGGCCGGCTCAAGATGTCTCAGAGGTCAACGGAAGCGTGGGTGGGGAGAAGGGCCGGGCGGAACGGATCGAGGAGACGGCAGAGATGCTGGAGAAGCGGAAGGAGGGCGAGAAGAGGGCGGAGCAGCGGGAGAGGGTGCGATGTGCAGCGCGAAGGGGGGTGGCGTTTGGGTTTGTGGTCCAAGCAGCGGATGGTGAGTCGTCGTCGTCGGTGTCGCAGCGCAAATGCGAGGCAATGATGCAAGGCAAGGTGGTGGAGGCTAGTTTCGCAAAGGGCGAGTGGAGCGTGCGATGGAGGGAGTGAGGGAGTAGTGAGGCATTAGAATGACGAAGATCTTCGGTCGCAGGCAGTGGTGTGATCTGGGGAAAGTCTTCACGCGTAGCAAAGTGTAACAAAGGTCAAACGCGGTCGAGATCACATCGCGGTGGTTCCTGACGGGCAGTTTCAGCCAGGGCCCGAAGGCTTGGCCGGGCGTGAAGGGCCGGCCGTGAGACAGCGCCTGGCGCTTCTCGGCATGGATTGGCTGCGCGGCTTTGGATTAACCCCACCAAATCACTAACAATAGGCAGCTTGCAAGCCCTCAATGGTCCGTCACACTCGCTCTGCGTCCTTTATCTGAAAGAAGCCTTGCGCGAGCCTCCTTGCAACCTCCTCCCGTCGCTCACTTGCCGCCCATAGCCCAAGAGCGCAACGACCGCCTGGACCCCGCAGCCAAGCTTGTGAGTGCCCCTGGTGATATACATACCTGCCCACCTCTCCGCCCGCCGGCCGCCCTCCCTCCAGATAACGACCGGTCACGGCTCTCTCTCGAGACCGCCCTTTTTTTTTTTCGCCTCTACTATTGCTGCCACCGCTGCTTGCTACTACTACTACTCCTCCTCCCGCCGCTGACTGCCGTGCTCCGCAGACTCGTACTGCATCTCACCCCTCCTTCGTTTGCGCCGCACTGTTGCTTCGAGCGACTCCGTCAACCATCGGATACCTGCATCTGACGAAATAGCTGCACGGATACCCATCTCGACTGCAACCGCCCTGGTCGTCGTCGTTGCCGAGCGAGCTCCGTTCCCCTCACCTTGACCGAGACTGCCACGTCCGCCATTGGCCGTTGCGTCTGTCTCCATCGAGCCACAGCTGGATTCTGCGGGCCGGACACAAACCGATAGAAAGACCCTTGGTCGAACGCTGCTTGCGGGTTGTTGTGCTACCTCCACCTCTCAAAGGGTTGCACACAGAATCTCAGGTACGTCGCGGTCGCGCCGGCCATCTACTGGCTCATCCATCTGCGTCGTCTGTTTCGATGGTTTCCTCCACCCTGTACGCCGGCCGAACCGATTCGTTCCCCGGGCTGCGCCGTGACATCTTATGGCTTGAGGTGAAGCCCGTTTCGGCTTGGCCCTAGTTTCTGTGTCACCCGCCTCTCCTTTATTGTCCTTCGCTTCGGCCAAGTCAACACAATAAAGACAATGGCGGAAGCTCGAGGTTCCGGCTGCTCGGAGCCTAGCCCGTACATTTCCTTTTAAGAATGCTTCTGCAGCTGTTCAATTTCCGTGTTTTCTATGTTGCTTTGACCAGCTCAAAGACTCCGTGTTCTTGGCATATCTGACTTGCTGCATAACAGATTAGTTGAACTTTACCAAAACCCGTGAAAATGTCTCGCGGTCCTCCCCAAGGAAGCAGAAAGATCTCTTTCAACGTCTCGGAGCAATATGACATCCAGGACGTTGTCGGAGAGGGTGCGTACGGTGTTGTCTGGTGAGTAATCGAGCAAAGTATAGTTGGTCTTTCTGGCGCCTTTTCTCTAACCTTTTCTCGCTCAGCTCGGCGCTGCACAAGCCTTCCGGCCAGAAGGTCGCGATCAAGAAGATCACTCCGTTCGACCACTCCATGTTCTGCTTGAGAACGCTCAGAGAGATGAAGCTTTTGCGCTACTTCAACCACGAGAACATCATTTCAATTCTCGACATCCAAAAGCCCAGGAATTACGAGACATTTACCGAGGTGTACCTTATCCAGGAGCTGATGGAGACCGACATGCACCGCGTTATCAGAACCCAGGAGCTTTCCGATGACCACTGCCAATACTTCATTTACCAGACTTTGCGCGCTCTCAAGGCGATGCACTCGGCAAACGTCCTTCACCGTGACCTTAAGCCATCCAACCTCCTTCTCAACGCCAACTGCGATCTTAAGGTCTGCGACTTTGGTCTTGCAAGATCTGCGGCTTCCACCGAGGATAACTCTGGTTTCATGACCGAATACGTCGCTACCCGTTGGTACCGTGCGCCGGAAATCATGCTTACGTTCAAGGAATACACAAAGGCGATTGATGTGTGGAGTGTTGGCTGTATCCTGGCTGAGATGCTGAGCGGAAAGCCACTTTTCCCTGGCAAGGATTGTGAGTTGTAGTGAGACGAAATTGGTGCAAGCGGCACTGCTAATCCACGCTTAGATCACCACCAGCTTACCCTTATTCTGGACGTCCTTGGAACGCCGACCATGGAGGACTACTACGGCATCAAGTCTCGTCGCGCTCGCGAATACATCCGTTCCCTGCCCTTCAAGAAGAAGATTCCTTGGAAGGCCATGTTCCCCAAGACCAACGACCTGGCCCTTGACCTGCTCGAGCGTCTTCTCGCATTCAACCCTGTCAAGCGTATCACCGTCGAAGAGGCCTTGAAGCACCCGTACCTCGAGCCGTACCACGACCCCGAGGACGAGCCGACTGCGGATCCTATTCCCGAGGAGTTCTTTGACTTTGACAAGAACAAGGACAACCTCACCAAGGAGCAGCTGAAGAGTAAGCCCTGCACCAATCAATCGTCGTCAACAGAGCTAACCCTTCTCTAGTGCTCATCTACCAGGAGATTATGCGGTAAATTTCAGGAACTTACTGCCGATATATCGTCTGCATTTGCTAGTCGGATTGACTACACATTGCAGATTGTCGACTCGGTGAAACTCCGTTTTACTGGTGGGCGCATTGCGGGGTTTGGGACTGTTACGGCCATTGTGCATTTTTGCGTACCTGCGAAGCATGGAAACGAGTTAGATGCATGAATGCCTTGAGCAAAGAATGTGGTGGCAGACATGGTCATTAACTTCATTGGATGTCCTCTCGCAGGTATCTCCTATGTTTGTCGTCCCAATGGTAGTCTGCACCTGCAATGAAGATCTAAAGAGGCTCATGCGGTGCTAGTCTGTCAATGAAAACGAATAGAATACTTCCATCAGATCTAATATGGATGAAGTGAGATTCTAAGTCTCTAACCCGAATATCGTACAATACTCGTACATGTTCCTGATACCCCAGGACCCGATGCTGTCTCTTTAGATCTATGTTGGTCGCTAACGCCGGTGCCATGCATGAATGCAATGCTCTCTAGCAAAATGCCAAATGCTCCATACTGAGCCATGTCTAGCAATTTTCCGTCCCCAGCGCAACGCTAAAAATCGCAGCTCCCGTCTTTCCAGCCAGTCCTCCACCGCTCTTCCCACCTGTCGCAGTTGAACTTTTCCTTGCCCAGCTTGACATTGACGGCATTATGCGCCTCGCACATCCAGCGACCAAACTCATCCCTCGAGGAGACGCGCGGCGCGTTGGCGTCCACAGCCAGCCAATTCTGGAAATCCTCAGCGCACGTCCAGCATGGATACAGCTTCGCGAATGTGCGCATGAAGGTGGAGGTCTCGCGCTGAATCGTCGGCGAGGGACGCTGAGGATACTGGGCGGCGATGGAGTGCAACAGCGTCCACGAAGAGCGGCCTAGTTGCTCGACGTCTGGAGGGCAGTCGGCCGGCGGCGCGAGTGAGGAAGTGCCTGCCGCAGGCGGTGTTGTGGTAGTAGTGGTGGCGACATTGGGGTCTTTGGTCTTTTCTTTAGCCATGACGGCCCATGAAGCGAATGAGGTGCATGAGCGGCAACTGTAATTTAAACTTTCTGTCAGCTGTGATGGCCAGGGCCGGTGGGTTCTCTCTTTCTCTCGCACGGCTGGCTTACGGCTTCCCGTCAGGCCCGAGAACCACGCCTTTGGGAAACTTCTTGGGCGCGGCGGCGCCTTGCGCGTCCTGCGGCTCTTCGGCGTCCAACGGTTGAGCAGGCATGCCTGTTGTCGTCTCTACCGCACACAGGAATCGGGAGAGGATGGGGAGGTCGAGCAGAGTGACGGGCATGGTAAAAAGCGCATTTGTAAGAATAGCCTTCTCTGTACATGTCTCCGGCAGTCCGTGCCCTGAGCCGGGGGATGTGCCTGCTCTGCTTGTGCGTCATCCTCCGCGGCTCAGGGCTGATCTCCGCCGCGAGTCGCTTGCGCACAGGAAGCACAATGCCTTCTTCTTTTCCTTCTAGACGATGAGCGAGAGCGCGACGACACCCGTCTTCCTCCTCAAGACCAAATCCACGCCCAACGATGGCTACGAGGACTACTTTGCAACCGCGCAACAGGGCCGCTTCAACCCGGTGTTTGTGCCTGTGCTAGAACACCGCTTCAAGGACAACTCGCTGCAACAATTGCGCACTTGGATACAAGGCGGGGCTTTCGACATCAGGCCACACGGCAACCACGCGGACGCCAAGTATGGTGCGATCATATTCACATCGCAACGGGCTGTCGAGGCCTTTACGCACGTCGTGGAAGCTGTCCGAAAAGAATCTCTCTCACTCGAGAACCTTCTACCGCCGGAACTGCCGCTCTACGTTGTGGGTCCAGCCACGGCCCGCGGACTCCGGGCGCTGAACCTTCCGTGTCCCATTTTGGGAGAAGAGTCGGGCAATGGCGAGGTGCTGGCCCACTTCATACTGCAGCACTACAACGACTCGGCCAGGGCGGGCCCGAAGAGGCTGCCTATCCTGTTCTTGGTCGGCGAGCAAAGGCGCGATATAATCCCCAAGACATTGCAGTCTCTGGACTTGCCGGAAGAACAAAGGGCGGTGGTAGATGAGGTCGTGGTCTACGAAACTGCAGAAATGCAGTCGTTCCGGTCGGATTTTGACACGGTACTGGCAGACAACCGGAAGGCCGGCGTGAAGCAGCAATGGGTTGTCGTCTTCTCCCCCACAGGATGCAAAGCCATGTTGGAAAGCTTGGGCATGATGGATGAAAGCACAGGAAAAGCCAAGGAGGTGGCGGCAGAGGACAGAAAACGGACGCGAATCGCTACAATTGGGCCAACTACGCGGGACCATCTGATCAAAAGGTTTGGGTTTGAGCCAGATGTTTGCGCGGCAAAGCCGAGCCCTGACGGCGTTGGAGAGGGCATAGAGGGTTTCATGCAGGGCGAGGCTGCAGAGAAGTAGATTTGTGCAGGTGATGATGCAGCTCGCGAATCGAGAACATCCAACGCGTATCCCAGCACTTTTCTTCTCATGAATCAATCGTTGCGTAATGGATGAGGAGTTGCGATCAATCCGCACCCGTAGGTCGCGCGGCGCGCCTCCACGCGGGCGCGTTGGTCTCTGCATGACGTCAACGCGTGCTGGAGCTCGATGCGGGCACCGCGTTACCTACCTACCCTCTTGCGCTCCCCATCCCCAACCTGTTCCAATTCTTGTGCTTCCATCCTCCAACTGACTCTGACAACCTCAATCTGTCCTTCTACAGCTTTGGTAAGCTCATGCAGCCGATTGCGCCTAGTCTCAGCACATTAAGCTGATCTCGCTCTAGAGCTCACTGCTTAAAAGTACCTCAACGCTCCAAAGCCAGCACATCGCTCGCCATGGTTTCTTCTACCAGGCAGTCTGCGCGTCTTGCCTCGCAGCAGGGGTCCAGTCCGACTAAGCCTCAAGACGAGACTCAGGGCACTAAGCGCAAGGCTGATTCCACTCCCAAGGCTGATCGCGGCAAGAAGGCCCAGGAAAAGAAGCAGAAGACCATTGACGAGACCATGGACGTCAAGGAAGCCAACGAAGAGCAGCCCAAGGACATTGAAATGAAAGAAGCCGCAGATGGCGACCACGGTGCAGACCAAAACGCGCAACAGTTTGAGCCTAGCAAGGAAGAGGAAGAGGCTTTGAAGGCCGTTGAGGAAAACGGAGAAGCTCCTGCGACAACAGACAATGGCGCTAAGAACGACGAGACAGAAGAAAAGTCCAAGTCGAACAAGGAAGAGCCCAAGCAGGAAGAAAAGCCAGCTGAGAGCACTAATGGTGGTTAGTATTGCTCATCTCATAAGAAGTGAGCTGTTTCTGACCCTTATAATCGTAGGTGCGGTCGAACAGTCTTCTCAGCGTGAGAAGGAGATGCCGAGCAGCATCATCGAGAAGGGCATCATCTATTTCTTCATCCGCAACCGAGTTGGCATCGACGAGCCCGAAGGTGCCGATGATCTACAGCGGTCCTTCTTCGTCCTGCGCCCTATCCCTACCGGAGGGAAACTCGGAGATGGGGCCGTTGATGACGCAAACACCAACAGGCTGTTTGCACTTCCTAAGAAGGTACTCCCGAAGAGCCACAAGGACAGATTCATGGCCTTTGTGGAGAAGGCGCCTACGACCGTCAAAGACCTCAAGGAGAACTTCTTCGGTGGTGCAGAATACCAAACCAAGACACAGGGCACACGTGAACAATCTCCCGTAACCCCCATCGGTGAGGGTGTCTACGCCATTGTCCACTCTGGTCGGAATTCGCACCTGGCCTACATGCTCACTATCCCGCAAGAGCTAGGCGAGGTCCAGAATGATATGGGACTTTGCAACAAGGGCAGCTTTGTCATCAGCGTTAAGAACCCCGAACGGAAGGGCCCTGTCAATGCTCAGTTGCCGAGCGGCCCTGACTTCCCCAAGGAGTAAGTTTTCAATTAACAAGTGTAATTGCTCGTAGTTAACAATCAACCCAGAATCATCGAGGAGTTCCGTGGCCTTGCTTGGGTCCCAGCCCAGTCAAAGTACCTCGATTATCCTAACGTCCAAATCCTTCTGATCGGCGAAGGTACTGATGAGGACTTTGCCAAGGCCCTCGAGCCTTCTAAGAAAGACGAAAAGCATGACAAGAAGACTCCTCAGGAAGAGCTTGAGAAGCTTGAGCACGAGGATGAGCTTCGCGTCGAGCACCTCCATGGCGACAACACCGTGTTTGACGACCTCAAGTTGAGCTCGGATGAATATCCCAAGGTCCCTACCACCTGGTAAGGGTCTTTTGACGATGGAATGAATAACATGAACAAAATACAGGAGGACTATATTGCTATCCAGGGATCTGGATACGGCGTTGCTTGGATGTGCTTATTTAAAAGTTTCGCCGTCTTAAATGCTCGAGGGAAGTCTGCGGAAAATGATTCTTGACGAGCCTATGCGTTTAGTACATGGATTTCCCTGCTCGGTTATCGCTTCGTGTACTTAAATAACTACGAATACGAAATGAAGGATGTTTGCTGTTGCTTTCTATATGTAACTGGCGTGACTGACGCATGTCGGCGATTTCCCGGTCCCAAGCTGAAGAATGTCCCTTGCGTGGGTGGATGACGGTTCCTGCAGGGCCAGTTTGCATCATCCATTTTTGCAAAGGGCACAACGCAGATAGCTGTATATCCCACTCGCAACCGTTCTCCGACGCGTTTGCAGCAATCCGAGTAGCAGCAGCCCGTCGTTCGGCGCAACGCACGGTCCGGTAGAGCTAGGCCGAGCTACTGGTATCGATTAATCCACGGGTCCGTGAAACAACAAGTGGCCGGATAAGAAGCGTCGCTCTCTCTCAATGGAAGCTTTTGGATCGGACGTCTCAGTAAGGCATGCCATTGCTCTTCCCGGAGAACTCGTAGTTAAGCACACCCTGGACATTTCCCCTTCGGTCGTCAGCGTCGCCAAGGAGATCCGTAACTGCGTCTTTGCGGCCGCCTTAGCCTGGGCCGTCGTTCAACTGGTCAGATCGCGCCGCACCGAACACTAGGAGCGCGCAGTATGCGATACCTCTCCTACTCCATTGATGCCGTTTACTGACGTTACACAGCATAAGATCTTACGTTGCGATTCAGCAAACTTCCGTACTGCCGCCTCAACTGCAGCAGCTAGTCGCGCCCATTCGAATCTCCAGTCCTGTACATACCATCCCTAGCTTGCGCGCGCACCATGCAATTACCACAGAGCCTCCGTTACCTGGCATGGGCGGCCTTCGCCGCATCCACTGCCCAGGCAAACACCGTTGTCGACGGATTGAGCTTCGGTCACAAGGATACCATTTCCAGCAACCATAGGGACATTCCTGGTTGGAGGGTCTCTGGAGAAGGACACGATCCCCAGATTTTGAGCGACCGCGTTATCCTTACTCCTCCGGCCCCGGGCAACAAGCGCGGTGCGTTATGGGCGAACAGTCCTTTGGACAAGGACGAATACGTCATGGACTTTGAGTTCCGAGCTTCGGGACAGGACCGGGGAAACGGAAACCTTCAGATTTGGCTCACGCAGGGCGGGCAGCCAAGTGGAGGAATTAGCAGCATCTACACTGTCGGGCAGTTTGATGGTCTTGTGCTGAGCATAGATCAATATGGTGGCCAAGGAGGAAAGGTTCGTGGATTCTTGAACGATGGTACCGTCTCCTTCAAGGATCACCACAGCGTCGACTCCTTGGCTTTCGGCCAGTGCGACTACCGCTACAGGAACCGCGGTGAGGTGTCTCGCATGAAGGTCACGCAGACCGGAGAGATATTCTCCGTGGAAATGGATGGCCAGACGTGCTTCACAACCAACCAGGTATGTTTGGATAATGGGTGCTGTGACAAACTGATCTGACAAGTTACCAGGTCAGAGTTCCTGCGGGCTATTACTTTGGTATCTCGGCCGCGTCTGCTGAGAACCCGGATTCTTTTGAGGCCTGGAAGTTTATTGTTGCTACCCATGAACTACACGGCCGCGAAGAAGTCCGCTTGAACCCACCTCCGGTATACGGAGGGGAGGCCAAGGAGCTTCCTGTCTTCAACAACCCGGAAAAGGTTGCGGACGCACCCGCCTCTAACTTCAAGTCGCAGGAGGACCAGTTTAGGGATCTCCACGACCGCGTCCAAGTCATTGGCACTCAAGTAGACAACATCTTCCGCCTCCTTGATGACATGCGAAAGAGGCAAGAGGAGCACCATCACGAAGCAATGACCCTCAACAAGAACGGGCCGATCCATGCGCACGTGGAAATTGTCGAGAAGGCCGTTGGAAGGATTGAGGCCGTGATCGGGAAGATTGAGGGCGGCGTATCAGCGGTTCGGAGAGATCTGGAAGGCAAGGACTACAAGGAGCATTTGTCCAACTTGCAGTCTGCGCTGAGGGACACGCACGCTGGCATTACGGACCATGTATCGAACAGTAAGTGGCCTGCAGCCCGGCACGGCGCATGGGCGATGATGCTAATGATGTCTATCTACAGTTGTCACGACCTCGGCCCCGAAGATGTGGACGTTCGTATTCCTGGTGGTCATCTTCCAGGTGGTCATGTTTGGAGGATACCTAGTGTACAAGCGCAGGCGGGACAGCGCGCCGAAGAAGTACCTCTGAGGGGTGAAGAAAGAGTGGGTTCGAGTGTTCGACTGGTTCGACGCATGTGGGGCATGGAGAAGAAAGAAAAAAATAAAACAAAAAAGGAAGCTTGTAGGATAGATAGTTATAGTGAGAAAAGAAAGACGTTCCCGAAGCGGATGCGGGGATTGTGACGAGTCGAGTAGGTGGTGACAAGCAGCGACACCTTGAAGTCGAGGGGGTTTGGCGTCATAATGCCAGCCGTTCGAGTCGTGTGATTAGTTAAGCGCGTGGTTATTCGAGCGGCCGACGACGTCGATTGTTTTTCTGCCCGCACGCCAGCCCAGCGCGTCTCGACGACATGGAAAGCTGAGCCAAGCCCCCGCGCCGCCGTCTTTTGCTGTCAGCCTGTCGCGTCCACCCTCGCGCATTCCTGCCCTCGGCCTTTTCCGTCTCTCCAAAGCCCGCAGCTCCAGCTTCCACCAATTTTCTTCGACGCCTCAGTCCCCACCATCCCCAGCGCCCTCTTCACCAGCGTATGCGCAGAGCCGCCCGGCGCACGAGAGGCGCGCCTTTTCGCCACTGCAATTGACCCCACAACGCCTACCATCCCGCTCCGACCATGGAGCGCGCAAGCTCGCCCAGCTCCAAGCTTCAGCAAGCCTTCATGAACGGCCAGATGCCGCAGTATCCGCCTCCCCCCTCGGCCGACCAGCAGCACTACTCGCCCATCTACCCGGCTGCCGCCAGCGCCCAACTTCTGGAAGCTGCCCAGCAGCAGCCGCAACCGCAGTCGGAAGGCTTCAACTTTAGCCCGCCCACCAGCCAGTCCATCTACACGAAAATCGAGCCCAGCTTTCAGGACCCCAACCAAAGCCACGCCGGCCCCCACGATGGCGCGTACCCGGGAAATGGTGTCGGTGTCGGGCAGGTCGGGCAGGTTGGGCAGGTCGGTCAGGAACACCACGCGATGCCGTCCATGCAGCCACCGCCAGCAGGTGTGGCCGGCGTGGCCAGTGTCGGTCCAGACGCGTCGCACCAGAAGGCGAACCGGCTGAGGAAGGCTTGCGATTCCTGCAGCATACGCAAGGTTAAATGCGATGAGAGCGGCCCTCCGTGCCGCGCTTGCGCTTCGCTGGATATTCCGTGCACATTCGACCGCCCGAGTCGCCGGAGAGGCCCACCGAACAGACACGCAGAGGCTATCAAGAAACGCCGGTTAGAGTCTCCCAATATGATGTCTCCGACGGACCCGTCGTCGCCGACCAATGCAGCCCACGCTCTCGCGGCGCTTTCATCGCACCCACCGCTCACTGCGGAATCCATTGCGCCCATGGACACATTGGAGCTTTTCATTAATGACTACTTCACCTACATCCACCCGCTCTGCCCGTTCCCGCACGAGCCAAGCTTCCGTGAGTCATTTAGGCAGCGGCAAGACTACAATAACCGTCCATTCCTAGCGCTATTGGCCTCTATGGTTGGTGCTCTGGTCGCGTCCTTCCCCCGGAAGCCGCGTTTGATCCTCAAGGCCCAGGGTCGGCAGAAGCTCTTCCCCAGTCACCTGAGCTTGGTTCACCGGTGCCAGCAAGTTTGTGCTGCCGCTAGAGGGCCAAACATACTGGAGCGTGACGACCTCACTGTTTATGATGCAGCGACTAGCTACCTTCTGGGAGTCTCTCACGCCTACACGTACCGCTGGCGCGCGGCACGCCTATTCTTCGCCGAAGGTCTGTCGATGGTTAGAGCACTAGGTTTGCATGATGTTCGGAGCGAATTTTGGAACCCCTCAGGACCTCAGAACGGCGACGGCCCGCGGCCACCCGGGCCGGACTTCATCACCCAGGAGATGGCCAGACGCGTCTTCTGGACTACGTTTGTGAGTTGGCGGTGAGTGACCTTTGGAGAATGCCTATGCTTACAATTTCACTGACAGGTCTATTCTAGGTCGATGTCACAGGCCGGCGCAGACCACGACGAATTGGTAATAATGCCAGAGACACCAGGAAGGCCATATCCTCCGCTGCCCATGGAGGTTGATGATGTGCACATCTACCCAGGGCATATCGAGCCGCAGCCGCCGAACGTTGTCCCAGAGATTGTTGGATTCAACGCAAACGTGCGCGTCTACCAGTCCTACAGTACTCTGGCGACTACCGAGCTTACCTATGGCATCAACGAGGTTTTTGACTGGGAGAGGCAGAGCAAGGTCCTTGATCAAAGTCTCCGGTGTTGCAAGCGTGTGCTGGAGGACCTGCCCTCCGAGTTGACTGTTTGGCCCGAAGGCGCAGCTGAAAGCTCGGCGCAACCTAATGTTTTCGACCCAGTCCAAAGCTATATGCTACCACGGGATCCGATGATGCTGCTAGCGATCAATGGAGAGCAAGGTCCCGAGGAGAGGCGGAAAACGCAGTATGAGATACAAAAGGCCAACATTTATCTGAGCCAGCTGGCGACGCGCTCGTATATTACGGAAAGATACTGTAACATGCGCGATATATACAACAACATGAAGGCGCAGAACCAGGAACAGAGTTCGCCTGCTGTGGTTGCCGCTGGTTTGGATGCAATGTTGCAGGAGCATGCGAGCACGGATTATGACGTACTGGAACAGGAAATGACTGCGGAGAAGGACAGGATCGTCAAGGACTTGCTGCATGTGCTCCAGAGCATCAGTCAGATCCACATGGAGCCGAACGCTGACAGCTTTGTAAGTAAACCGGGGAAGAGCATGACCAAGTGGAAGCGAACTGCAGTGCTAACAGCATATCAGACACACAAAGTGCGGCAAATCGTGTCGACTCTTCTCAATGTCCCGCAAGACCGCAAGAGCAGCGTCGCGCTGCAGGCCGAGCACTATCTGCACCAGTTCCTCGACATTCTGGTGCGCCTCGACCGCACTTCGGCGTCGTCGCTCGGCAACCCGGAGCAGCCGGACGACGAAGAGGCAGAGTTGAGGAATTGGTCGGATCTGAGGGAGTACCAAGCCAAGCTCACGCAGGCCGGCGGCATCCTAGCCCTCCAGTAAATGAGAGAGTGGGGGAGGGAGCCAGAATGAGGAGTTGGCTGACGGAGAAGGGAGTTCATGGAGAGTTTATGTGATCTTGCGTTATTGCTTCAGAGGAAGGAGTATATCTTTTCAAGGATGTTGCTGGGAAGGGGGTGAGGAAAACGGACGGGGAAGCATTCCTTCCCGCACATGACGGCCATGGGTTTCGGAGGATCTCTTTAGCTTTTTTTCTTTTTCGTTGGTGCCGAGTGGAAGAGGATTTATTTTTGCTTGCACATCATCGTCGTCCCCCCCCCCCT